TTACGTCATTACTGTTAATCAAATAAAAAAACATTATGACTACATTTCAAGTGTTTATTTTTATACTATCGGTACAATAGCATGTTTGTGTTGGTTTTGCTTGGTTTAAAAGTGTGCACGATTCCTTTTTTGAAATGCAATAATTATTATTTTAATTAAATGCATAATTCTTTTCACATAATTAACTCCATTCAAATTTTTACCAATCAAATCTTCCCAATGGGCCCCAGTATGAATCGTTCTCTTCTGCATTAGAATTTATGATTTGTTTTATGTGTGTATCGATTATAAAACTATTTCAATTGTGTAGTTATTTAGTATTACTTAACAGAATTCTAAACAACTGGGCTTGTTTCTTTCTCTTTAGTTTTTATTTAAGTTGTTTTTTTCATGTATTTTTTTAAATTCGTTTTTACGCAGTCGGGTTTTTTGTTTTTCTTTAAATTATTTATTTTTTCAAAAACTAGAGCCGACTTCATACTTTAGAAAAGTGATAACTAAATACTTAATCCTTATCTCAAAATTGACTTATTCAAGAAACTGCTATTTAAGTCGGGCAGTAATTTTTTGTATGATAGGCGTCCGATTTTCTTTATGTTATCGACAATATTTTTTCCCCTTTGAAGTTTTTCCAATAATCCATACTCATTTAAAGAGGAAATATTTGATTGCTTGTTTGTTTGCATTGGATAGGCTCCGAAACTATTGGACTGATTATAAAATTCTTTTAATTACAGAAGGCTACATACGGCTAATACTCAGGGAACATATAGCGGGGAGACAGCTAGTTTCATAGAAATTTGTACACAATTCAAAAAGAAATCAATGTATATACCAACTTACATATAAAATATACACACCCGTTAAACATAGAAAATATTCCTTTCGGAATTTGATTGATTGCAAAATTCGCAATCTTTTGTTTTTCGCTGATATAAACATGTCATTAAAATATTTGGGTGATATCTAATGAAAAGCATATTATGTTTTGTTATAAAAAGAAAACTATTCATTCGATTTCGATAAAATGTCTTTAAGCATTTCAATAAGCTGTCTAATGAAAAAATAATGTGATGTGCTTTTGTACGTCAGTTTGTTTGTTGTACCTCAGTCTGCAGAGAACAAGTGGACATTTTCAGCACCAACTATCATAAGATATCGGTTAATAATTAAATTAATGTATTTCCCGGTTCGGTGTAATCTGTACACAATCGATATAGTGTATGCGCATTATAGGGCTGTCAACACTTAGAAATTTAAAATTTTAACTCCATTTTACACGTCTCCTTTTTGAAATATTTGCATGTTACCTAACTTCTAACTTTCAATTTGGGGCTCCCAGTATAACCTCATTTTCGATTGTGAAGATGGATGACCTTGCGAAAGGACATAAAGTTACATTTTACCACGACAAAAAGGAAATTCTACTCCAATACCAATGGTAATTCTTGAGGAGTTTGAAGTAAATGTTAATTTGTATGAAAGACAAATTACCTTGACATAATGTTTTCCTTGAAGAGAAAATTAAGGACATCCTTTTTTAATAATTACGTCGCCCTCTTTCTTGCCTATAGAACACAGAAGTTCTGTGTCTGATTTTCCATCCTTTGGTCAGCCCCTGTCGCGAACACAGAAGGCAGATAACTTCAATACTTATGTTTGTTTAGTATTTACCTAGCAATTGACCTAGGTATGTTTATTTAGTATTAGGCATGCTCGTGAAGTACTCTGAACGATGAGGTAATTGAGTCTACACATAGAATAGTACGTTAGTATTAGGATATATTATTACTGGATATAAAATTGATTACATGAGATTCAGTACTTTAGGAGAAAATTAGTTCTGTCAAACAAAAACACACAACTAGTGAGTGACCTATAAGGTTTCCGGGAATGAAACTCCTTTTTATACTCAGAGGAAAGTGCTACGTACTATCCCTGAAGCCAGAGGCAGATTTGCAGGTTTGGCCGCCCTAGGCCATGTGATATTAGTCGCCACCTTATACCTTTCATAATTAAAACACTGTGTATTAATTTATTTTTTTTATATACGTTTTTTAAAATAAATTCAATAGTTTATTTGTATTTATGCGTTGATGTAATAATATAACATCTTAATTTTAAAGGTTTTGTTATCAGCGTAGGGTATATATATCTGTGTAAATTTAAGATTTTGTATTATAGGCTGTAAAGACTAACACCCGGAACACCCGAGACACGTAAATGAGATATATATGTCTCGCCTTCTCGTTCTCGGGGCCGCGTCTTCTCCGTTAGAAGCTCGCTTCAATGGCACTTTATGGGCGAGAACAAACACCATAACATTCTCGTTTGAGTGTTTGAGTACAGTGCGTCTTGAGTCTGTTCATTGTTAATTGAATATTAAAAGGCCTTGTTCTTATTTGGATAAATTAGTAATATCCACCATCGTCTGGGCGTTAATTTTGGATTATTTAGTCACAAAACTAGTGCACATATACCAACGCGCCTGCACTTGCAAAGTCGTCCATATCGGAAAATGAAGTGAACCTGACTGAGAACTCACCGTGAGTGTGAACAGTGCACCATTTCTCTTCAAGTCTCGCCGAGCTTTGTTGGTGAGACTTCGCCGCGTAAGGGCGCTTGTGCACTACACTGAATTTTCATGTCCGGCGGTCCGATTTTTTCAGATCCGATATGTCAGGCCATATGTAGGTAATGCGCGCTTGTGCACTGTCAGGAATTTTACCGTCCGGAATTTTACTTTTCTCTATTCCGGACCGGTTTTTTCAGGTCCGTGATGGCGGCAATGAAAAACGTGTTTACGCTTGTGCACTGCTGTGTCCGAGATCCGGAAAATTCATAAGGAATAGGCTTGGGAAAAAATAATCGATTTGAATCGATATTTATTTCGGCAATAGGCTTGGGAAAAAATAATCGATATTTATTTCGGCAATATTGTTAATTTCCAATAAACTTATAATCGATATTTATTGTTAATTATAAAATGCTATATTTTATATGATGATTTAATATAGTTGGTATATATCACTGCATATGCTTTGGAAAACTCGGTATAGTTCTAATTTGATCAGCATATGGTTCTAGTATCGATACTTAGCTAGATTTTAGAATCATATTAAAAGTTTCGATAGCTTAAGTAAGATAAATAAGTGTTGTTACGTTTAGACAACTGAACCCATCTAAATGGAAATTAATATAGTAAATCGACTTAACTTTAAGACCTTTCTTAAAGTTAAGTCTATTTGCTATATTAATTTAGGCTACATTTTATTGCGAAAAAGGGGATGAAAGTTTGCCTGGAAATTTGTCATTATCAAATTTTTATATACATGAAAAAAATCTTAATGTAGACATAGGCTACATTTTATTGCGAAAAATAGGGGATGAAAGTTTGCCTGGAAATTTGTCATTATCAAATTTTTTTTAAACAATTGATAAGTATAGATAAATATTTGACAACAGAAGTAATAATAAAGAATAAACAGAAGATTAACAAAAGTAATTAAGTGACACTCAATGTCTTTTTCGCATTTAATAAAATTTTAAATGTATTTTTGTGCCATTAATAATTAAAAAAAAAGTATTCTAAGGGAATAATATTTCTGCTCAAAGAAACCTATATATAATGCCTATATATAATACAGTCAACTGATCTCGTAAAGTTCATTTAGCATAATAATTCTCCGCTAACACGGCATCAATTTTGATTTGTTTACGAAATGGCGCCACTGATTGGTCTATCTCTGTAATCGCTGAAAGTTGTTTTTACAAAACTTCGAAAAAAAATAGCACATTTAAAAATTTAAACATCAAGTACTAGAGTACAGTAATTTTATTCTAATGTCAGATATTTTTAGCTATTGTATGTGAATAATGCTGTTCCTAAATTAGTAAGGGTATAAGTTTTTACATCTGATAGTAGTCATCCGATAGTAGTAAAAAAAATGCTTTCGTCTTGCCATAATTTATTATGGTTTATGTAAAACGATCAGATCATTATTTAGGTATCTTTCTACGTCTTCGAACGGAATTACCAACGTTCCAAAAATCTCATCGTACCTAGCATAAGTGACGTGTAGCTTCAAAGAGAGCTGCCCTACACTGCGCCGCTCCGATCAGGAAAAAAACGGACAAGTGCACAAGCTACTCATCCGAGTTTTTCATGTCATTCCGGACCGGAAAAAATCGGACCGCCGGACCTGAAAATTCAGTGTAGTGCACAAGCGCCCTAAATCTGTATGGCCTACTACTTAAACAAGTGAAGATACGGTGCATTCAGCTGTTGGCATTCAATGTTTTTAACCGACTTCAAAAAGAGGAGATTCTCAATTCGACTGTATTTTTTTTTCTGTTTGTTACCTCATATCTTTTTACCGGGTGGACCGATCATATTGATTATTTTTTTAATATTTGAAAGTTGGTGGTTCCGGTGTGATCCCATTTCAATTTTCAGCATAGTATTTGTCAGACTTAGGAGAAGGTAGGTATATTAACAGACTAAAAAATGCAGGGTCGCATTTTAACACGGTTTTCAGAAAAGTATTTTTAATGTTATCTACTATATAACATTTTTACTATATACATATTTACTATACAAAAAAGCATTAAGGCAGCATTAAGCGAATTAATAACCTACAGAAAACCTCCGCCCGAGTTTAATAGCATTTTCTCGAATAAGTAGCATTTGAGATAAATATTATTTTTCACTTTTGTAAGTTTGAAATCGGTTCTATTTTTATTCATTTCTGGCACTATTGGCCGCCCTTAGTATCTGGCTGCTTTAGCCTCCTACTGATGATAAATCCGCCACTGCCTACCTACTACACTTATATGTCGATCATGCACATTCGACGGAAATTCCATCGCGTACTTACTAATGCATACTTTCGTGAGACTTGATGGATATTCATGCTATCAGATATGCACCGACCCTAGAAGTGAGCTTAATGAAAAATAACCATGATAAGTTATTATGTTATTACTGCATTTGTTGTCAGGTATCAGAATGATGTCATGTGAGAAGCCCCAGATTCCGCAGTTTTACGCGGGAAGATCGGTCTTCATCACCGGCGCTACTGGGTTCGTAGGACAAGTGAGATCATGTTTTTTATTTCAATTGACCAACAGTCTTTCCTATAATTAGAATTATAAAAGGACGAATTCCAATTTTCTAGAAATTTTACATCGGCTTAAATTTAATTTGAGTTCCAGGTTACTTACAAAAATTGTATATGTTCAAAAATATCTAACTTAGGTAGCCCATTTAAATAAATAGTGGATTAAATAGAATTCAATATGCAGTGAATAGAAATCATTCACATTTTTGTAACTATAAGACACGACCTACACGAAGCTTTTTAAATTACCTGGGAAATTTTGCTCATAGTTTGCTCATAGCTCATATTTTATTCATGGCCGAATAGTTCACACGCCGGTTCTAAGGTGCCAAGTTAGATTCCCAGTTGGATTAATTTAAAAAATGAACTTTATTGTATGGCCTGAATGTTGTTTTACCTTCGTTATTTCAGATTTGTACATAAAAGTGTTATAATTAGGTTTTGGGCATACTTATATGACATTGGTTTTATTATATATTTTGTAGGTGCTGGTGGAGCGGCTGTTGTATACGTGTCCTGATATCGAGAGGCTATTTCTACTGCTGAGGGAGAAGAAAAACTGTGGACCTATGCAACGGTTACGTTTACTTAAAGATTCGCCAGTAAGTTCCTCATCGATATCGCCAATGGTTCGCGGTCTTCATTTGGCACTTAATCGAATTTTATTTCACCTGGATCTGTCTTCTGCGGTGTGGATGGCGTCGCTGAATGTGGAGTTGAGTGATTTTGTTCGAACCAACCTATAGGGCTCCGTCACCGGGCCCTTTTTTCTTTCACTTTGTTACGTTTTATGTTTATGGCGATCTTTTGTTTTATTCTAATACGTTAATATGTTTGACATGAACAAATGATAAAAAATGATGATTCTACAGCAGTGCTACCAACTTAGTTGTTTATCCATCAATAGAAATATCACCATAACATCGTTTAGATCTCGGATCCTGTGGCTAGAGTCTTCACCAAAATGTTTGAATGAATATGTAAAATCATTAAAAGTTTCTTATAGCTATGGCTAGAGTTATGACTAGAGAAGTTAGGTGGTCGCTCTGCTGGTGTTTCAGTACCTGACCTCTGCACTGAGGACTGAGTGATGTAAACCCTGAATATTAACGCATTCTAAAGTATCAACATTTTTAACAGTCTTGCACATTTTGTTACGTGCTCCCAGTTTATAAGGGTTTCTTGGGGTAAAGTAACAGTAATTTTTTTTTGTAAATGGAACCATCTCACCTTTATAGGTGTTTTTTTTAAGGCTCCGTTGTTTACCAATATTCTTGTCTGTAACGTCATGCACTTTTTTATGTTCTTATTAGTACCTATATTTGTTTTCTATTTATAAACCGTTTTCGGGGAATAGTTCTCATGTAAGTGTTTTTATCATTAGCGTAGCTACATAAATATCGATATAAACATTAGAATGTATTTTGCAGGTTTTCGATAATGTCCGCCAGAAAAACCCCTCGCAGCTGGAGAAGCTGACAGTAGTATCAGGAGATATCACGAAGCCGCAGCTCGGTCTCCAGCAGGAATCGATTGATCTACTTCAGAATGTGAGAATTAACAACATTTAAACGACGAAAACTTGGATCGTGTTTTTCTTATTCTCAAAATCTAGAACTAACTTTAAACCTTAAACAAGGGAGAAATAATACTAATCTTAAAAAGAAACTGCTATTGAAGTCGAGTGGAAATTGTCTGTGGGTTATTATATAAATGATGATTTCAATAACAGTAGGTAATATACTTGAATAATTAAACGAAGTCTTAATAATAGGGTAGACTTTGGGTATAGAATCCTTAAAACTGTTTTTTAAAAGGTATCGGTGGTATTCCATTCTGCTGCGACGATAAAATTCGAGGAGCCCTTCGCTACGGCTGTAGAACAAAACATTAAACCTGTCACCAAGATTATGGAGCTGTGTGACAATCTACCTAATATGGAGGTAAATAAAAAAATCTAATATAAAAGTAAATGACTAAAAAAAAACTTTACTATTTTTTTATAAGGAAAGATTTAATTGTTTGTTTACATTGAATATACTTACTCCGAAACTGCTGGAATTTTAAAAATTCTTTCACCTACGGGGCCTAAATCATACGCAAGTGACATATGCATATTTACGCGGGTGAAGTCGCAGGAAAAGCTAAGGTTGACTGCGTAAGAAAAAACAGTAACGGTGGCAGTCTAAATATGCACTCCACTTGAGTTTCTTATTTATTTATTTAGTGACACAAACAGTGTATTGCACAATCTATATTACCTACATACACAAATAATATCCACAGCTTGTACCATATGTATCCACAGCTTGTACCATAACACATTTTTGCTTACAAGCTAGATGCAAAGATAATATAAAAACATAATCCAATATCATTATTATTATAGAGTTTTATTAATTTTAATGGTATGCAAATAATTAACTTCATTTAGTTTTCTCTCTAAACGCACCATATGCAATCTCCTATCTTCTGCGTCAAGGTTATTTGATTTCCTCTCTCTTTTGCTTTTTGATGCGCAACTTCAAAATCATCACTCCACTGCAGGAGCACATGCCTTCTCTATGGATGGAATCGAATAGCAAGAATGGGCCATGACGTCGATGTTAACAACTGCAGATGCAGCCATGACCAACGGCATAACGTGCCGTCCGAAGCACGGAAGAGCTCGAGATAATACATTTTTGGTCAGCCATCCCACGACCGGCCCTTGTGAACGTTTCTTATCTTCCGTATTTTAGAACCCGCTATCGAGCTAATGTCAGTAGTTAAGTACAGAAATATTGTTGTAATACAGGCGTTCGTGTATGTGTCAACTGCGTACAGTAACGCCGAGCTGACCGTGGTGGAGGAGCGAGTCTACTCACCCCCCGTGCCACTGAAAAATCACCTTGCTCTCGTAGACAACGCAACACCAGAACAACTGTCCAACATCACACAAGAGTACGATCATAGACTTTTTTATAATCGACGTACGGCCTCGTCTAGGCAGAGTGAGCGGTGGTTTTTCAATCCCTTTCAAATATATAACTACTGTCATAACATAGAAATAGTTTTATCGACGAATTAGACAGTGTTACATTTTGCGAGGCGGTATTGTGTCAACCCGAGGTTTGTACCAAATACTTACCTACATTTCAATCGAATCTTACTATACTTTCTCAGAACATTCGTAGTATAAGTGCAAATTTCTGTGGATTTTCCTTGGTTATTGAACGAATGAAAATTTTATGTGATATTTATATTTTATCAGAATGTTGGCTTTCATGTAATCCTGTTGTACCGGTTTTAGATGGATATAATTCATACAAAACGTTAAGAACTTATAATCAAAATGATGGAGTGGTAGTTTTCATCAGAAATTCCTTGTCAAATATAAAAGTTTATGAACCAATTGTTTCGGATTTCAATTGTTTAGTGATTACGGTAGGATCTGATTTGGCTATAATCGCAATATATAGACCGTACGCATTTACTGATTTAACAACATTTCTACAGTGCTTGGATGTTTTACTCATGGATCTTAAATCGTATAAAAATATTATTTTAACGGGTGACATTAATATTGATATTACCCCCGATTGCCAAGCTAATTCTACACTAGCATATCTTGATCTTCTTGCTCATCACGGATTTTTTTTAGGACACACTTTGCAAACCCATAACACTACATGTTTAGACCACTCTAATTTAAAAACAAGACTCCCTGCCTTAGTCCTCGTTTTTGAAACGACTGTTACTGATCACTATGCAGTTTTTACCGCCCTATCAATAAAAAAACCTAAACTAAATCAACGGCTAACATTTAACAGGGTAGATGATATTAAACTAGGTGCTGATTTAGAAGCAATTGATTTCAGTTCAGTCTATTCCACTCAAGATCCCAATATTGCTCTAACGCGCCTTATAAATCTAATCTCTTTAACCTTGTCCAATAACACCAAGATAGTGTCAATATCTCGGAAACGCAGACCTATTAAACCCTGGATTACCCCAGGATTATTAAAATGTATGAGACACAGAGATTATTTATCTAAGCAATTTAAAAAAGACTCATCAAACGAAGTGTTAAAGATTTCATACAAAAGGTACCGAAACTTCTGCACGGCACTGTTAAGAAGGGCAAAAACTGAATACAAGAAATCTGAATTTGAGAAGGCTGGTGGTAATTCTAAGCTACTGTGGAAAGTTATACAAGATGTGACAAATTTTAAGAAGCCTCAATCGTCGGCAAATAATCTTTTAAACACGCACTCAAACAACTTGAACTCCCTTAATGATATTAATTTTTATTTTGCCAATAGTGGTCGACATCTGGCTGAGAAAATATCTAATCAGTCCCAGTATTACAATACTACACTGCCCCCACCAAGTGGTAGATCTTTTGCAATGCTCGAAACAGACGAGATGGAGGTCGAGGGATTGATCAGCTCATTGAAAAATAATTGCGCCGTAGGCTGGGATGGCTTATCTTCAAAATTTTTAAAAACACATAAAAATATTATTGTTCCTCCCCTTACGTATATCTGCAATCTATGTATTACATCAGGTATCTTTCCGGATTTATTTAAAGTGGCTGTTCTCCACCCTATCTTCAAATCTGGCGACCGAAACCGTGTTGAAAATTATAGACCTATCTCTGTCTTACCTGCAATGTCTAAAATACTCGAAAAGCTCATTAACTCGAGACTTGTCGCATACTTGGAATCATGTAATTTACTATCAAATAACCAATATGGTTTCAGAAAAAACTTATCCACCGCTGATACAGTACATGGTTTAGTAGATCACATTGTAGAGAAACTGGACGCAAACGATAAATGCGTCGCATTATTCCTCGATCTAGCAAAGGCGTTCGACACGGTCTCGGTACCTATACTTCTGTCAAAGTTGGAGGCTATGGGAATAAGAGGCGCACAGCTGTCACTATTCCGTAGCTATCTCTCAAATAGATCGCAATGTGTAAAGATAGGTACATACACTAGTTCCCAAATTCCCATAATGTACGGCGTTCCGCAGGGCAGTATTGTCGGTCCTAGTCTATTTTTAATCTATATTAACGACTTGTGTAACCTCAATCTCCAAAATGGTGCTATATTTTCATACGCTGACGATACAGCCTTGGTATTTTCTTCTAAGACATGGGACGAAACATATCACTTCGCTCAGAAGGGATTTGATATTGTCAATCAATGGCTTAACAACAACTTACTTACCTTAAATTTTAGTAAAACCAAGTCGATGAACTTTTCGATTCGTGGTGTGGCTCCTGGTATCCTAGATTCATTTAATATAGTCGGTCAACAATCACTTACAGTTAATACTGACATGGTAATTGAAAACGTGTCATCTATTCGTTATCTTGGTGTGATGATTGACTGTCAACTGTCTTTCAAACCGCATATAGTTCTTCTTTCTAGTAGAGTTCGAAAGCTTATTTTCATCTTTAAACAGCTTCGACTTTCTGCGGGTGCTGAGACTATGAAAATGGCTTATATGGCACTTTGTGAGTCTATCCTGAGATATTGCATAACCACCTGGGGTGGGGCAGCTAAGTCACATTTAATGTTAGCGGAACGTGCGCAACGCGCTGTCCTTAAGGTTTGCTGTAGTAAGCCCCGCTTGTACCCTACTGACATGCTTTATGAATTTTGTCAAGTTCTAACAGTCAGACAACTTTATGTACTAGCTACTACCTTAAGGCAACATTTTTCAACAATTTACGTTCAAGGCAAGTCTCGTCGTAATAATCTAGTAGTCACAACAAAAAAAATGAATACATCTTTTGCCCAGATATTTTTTGTTTTTAATGGACCACATCTTTATAACAAATTGAACAAATTTTTATCTTTCTATGCCCTAAATCGTCATACGTTTAAAGTGGTTACCAGAGATTGGCTTCTTAAACAGTCTTATGCACAAACTGAGTCACTACTTGTCGCCTTGGTGTGATCGATACTGGTTATTGGCATTATAGACTTCAACGAAGTCCTTTCTCTAGTTTTTGCGTGAAATAGTAACAAACATGCGTACATCCATACACCCTCACATATATCCATATTCTTAATATTGAACCAGCTAATAATCAAACATATGTAACGCACTTTGCCCACTTTTGGTTGCAGCTTGTTTGGAAGTTGTTTCTTTGTTCAAACCAATCAAGTTGGTTGACCCATAGCTTACGCGCTCTCTTAACTACATTTCTTGATTTGTCTGTAATTATTTTCTTGTGTATAATTTTTGAACTTTTATGTCGTAAATTGTAATTACCACTGAGAGGTGGGGACCTGGTGTCCTGTGCAAACAGGTTTTAATTACCTAAAACAGGCAACAGCGATCCACAACCAAAATTAGGTTTAAGATTTATTGTATTTTATAAGTGTAATGGTTTGTGGAGAGAAATAAATCTTATTATTATTATATTATTATTATAGAATTATGTAACGTTTAAAATTGCAATAAATTCGGTACGAACCATGATTAATTTAAAAGTTATAGCAATATTACATCTAATGCTTGTAACGTCGAATTAACGATGTCGTCTATTAAATATCTTTCAAACGTCGCGGTCGCAATATTATGTCAAATAATTGTATCGTGAACTTCGTGAATATCTTTTAAATATCAAATTGAAAGGCCCCGGAACCGACGCCAAAATTTTGTACATGGAATTATGTAATTATTTAAACGTTTATATCAATATTATAGTGAATGCAAAATTAATATCGAGAATTTTTGATTTTGTAGGTGTATAGCGCCAAAGCCCAATACGTACACATATTCCAAGGCTATGGCAGAAGTGGTGGTGCAGGAGCACACTGGAAGAACGTACTCTGCTGCAATATTCAGACCTACTATAGGTACTCATCTTGTGATTTCAAAATTAATGGGGCAGATAATCAGGCTTTGGTTATTTTAAGGTTTAGATCCAGTTTTGGTCAATTTAAAAGTGACGAAGAAGTCAAGTTTTGCACAACACAGCTTTCAACAATATTAGTTTTGTTACATTCAACAACTTAAACACCGTAGGTACACTATAAATTAATATATTTGCCTATGCGTTAATTACAACGCTTTAAAGTCCCTTTGAAGAAAAGGAGAAAAGGAGGCCTGAGGTCAAAGCCGAGTCATCTGGCCTATCATTAAAAACTGAATGGGAATTGATTCATATAAGTATAATTGATATCTTTCAAATTGCCGCTACAAAAAATGATAGGCGTCATGACTTAAGTAATTATGGTTTCTACACAGTGCGTTGTCAGTCCATTTTTGGCTATTTATATTTATCACAATAGCACTTTAATTACTTAATTGTTTTTGGCTAAATCACACTTCAAAGACTGTCTATAATTGTAGGCTATGGTTCGATTTGTCTTCTTTGAGTGGATAGCATTCGCGCGATTTTGCACGGTAGTTTAAAATAACATGGTGATATAAAATACATAAAACAAAATAAATACAAGGACTCATAATTTCATTTTCCACTGTCACGAACGCAACCCACGGCATATTAACAATGATATTGTCCTGTTGTGTTGAGTGGTGTCAGCGATGCGTCACCCGCACGCGGGATGGGTGCAGGGGCTGAACGGTCCGAGCGGCGTGGTGGCGAGCGCGGGCAAGGGCCTGCTGCACGTGCTGCACGCTCGCGGCTCCGCGCGCGCCGACATGCTGCCCGTAGACATCGCCGTGGACACGCTCATAGCTGTCGCCTGGGAGACTGCCACCGATAGGTGACCATGCCAAATTTCTTATGATAAATTCATGTTATTTGTCGAGTTTCTTTACTTTTACGCTTATGTAAATGTTAGTTACGTCAATGTCCACCTGTGGAGCTCGCTCTATACTTACTTAATAAAATACTGTCTTAATCAACACAGAATTATGATAATTTTCGCTATGAACCCGTATTAAATCTTCAGCTTACAGTTACTTTTTCTTTGAACTTGGCTGGAGACGCCAACTCACGACAATGACGTTAGACATGCCTGACTAGATACCTACTTTGTTTACACCAAACGTTACTTTTCTCGGGTCGTGAGTGAGCTATCGTGTAGGTGCAGACAAAAGGTTCTCGAGTTCGCCATGCTACGAGGGCTGGCTAGTTATTTATCCCACTTAAAAAAAGTCCATTGAGTTAAAAAAACCACCGAATTTTCTACTTCATGTACATACCATGTAGCCACCATCGTCTACTATGTTTAATGTAATTTAGTAACACTAATGTTTTTCGACGGTACCCAGGATACCTGAAGTGCGGGTATATAATTGCAGTAGTAGTGAAAACCCTACAACTTGGAGTCAGTTCGAGGATGGTATAAGACGAAATATGCGCGAGCACCCGTTCGACAACGCCTTCTGGTGGCCCTGCGGAAGCAGTATTGAAAATTGGTCAGTTTAAATCTTCTAATATAGACACAATCAATGAGCTGATGCTCTAAGTTTACACAAATCTTTTTAAACAAAAATTTATGTTTGAATTATAAGACTTTTTAAAATGCATACAATTTATTAATTTTTTGCTTTAGGGAAAAGTTTTTAAATAAATGCCATTAATTACAGATGATGATGCAATTTAATATTTCAACATAGTTTGACATATGTACCTTAGTGTTAAAAAGAATGATGATAATAGACTTGATAACAGTTAATAAACTTACTTTACTTACGACAGGTTTCTGAATTGAGAAAAGTATGAAATCTCAACTGATTACTGATAAGTCCTAGTTTTATCAAACTGCTTCCAACTGATCATTAAAATAAATAAAATCAGAAACAAAAGCTTGTTGTGCTTAACTTTAAATTCTCAATTTAAAAACTGAATGTAAGTCATAAAAGACACGTTGTAAAACCTCATTTACTTTAGATCTCCACCATAAAATACTTTTAGTACGTTGTACATAAGTAGGTTATTTAGTTTGTAAAACTACTTCTCACTCCACAATTATTTTGTGTGCAAAATAGAATACCGCTAATTTTATCGATGGTAATCAAGCTTATCTATTTGATTAAATTAAATGTTATTTGTTTATTGTTCACAGGTTTGTTTACAAAATCCTGGAGTTTCTATTACATACGATGCCGTTATATATAGCTGAATACGTCATGTTGTTACTGGGTACAAAATCGAGGTAAGGAAAAGTACGTATTATTTGCATGGACACACATCAAAACTAACACAAACAAACAAAAATGGAAATACCATCTGTGATTGCATTACAATTTCCTTCCTGATGTAATAAAAGTAAAATGAACTTCGAAGACTAATAAGCAGGTACCTAATGCATCATCATTTTTTCCGTTTTTCTTCTATAGAAACTTGGATAATTTTTTAAATTCTGAATTTGATCTTCTCCAGTCAATTCATTGTCAGGATGCATATATAAATAGTTGGTAATTTCTCTTTTTTGTATAAAGTATATACCTACCTACATTTTTTCATTATTAAATACTCTTTTTAACCCACTTTATGATCTAATTTCAAAGACGAGTCATTAAGCAGAAGAGTAGGTAGCATAACTTTAAAAAAATTTATCCAATGTTATCCACTCTCCACATCTGTCTATACTGTCCCGTCTCAAAAACTCACCCTGCATATAATTATCTATTTGTGTTGTTTCCGTAGGATCAATATGATAACGTTGAATTCGCGGTTACAAGGCATGAATTCAGTGCTGGCGTTCTTCTCCAAGCGTGAATGGAAGTTTGATACACGCAACGTTCAAATGTTGAGACGCAGACTTACACCACAGGACGCCGCCATATACAATCTGGATCCAAACACTATAGAGTAAGCGGCTATGTTGTTCTGTTTAAAAATAGCCTCGAGTCGTCATCGAACGCAGCGCTGTCCCGTAAAAGAACTTCTATTAAATAAAATCTTTATTACCTTTTATAAAAGGTTTTGTTTGATAGAACCTCTATGACAGCGCAGCGTTTGAAGAGTATTTTGTTTTTTGTAATAGAATTGTAGTACAGCACTCACAGGTGGCGTAGCGTGAGTTTGGAGCTGGTGACGGTTCTCAAGCCCTTTTCACTAGAGCGAGTCTACGTTAGAGAAACCGGAGCAGGTTTAGGGTTTGGTCCGGTCCGGTCACCTTGTGATTCCTTGTCAGTTACCAGGGCCCGGATCACGCGAGAGGGTAGTACGGAGGGTTTTGTCGGGTTGGCCAACTGCACTGGACCGCAGTCCCTTGCAATGGAGAACCCCGGTTTGGTGAATATGAGAAGCACATCGCGTAATATTCAAGGCGATAGGCAACACGCTTTTATTCTCGCTCTAGCAAATGGCAATTGTGAGCAATAAAAACATTGGGCGTCAATAAAGATCATACTGTGCAGCATACCCACTAACTACAATGTTTTGTTTATTCTTCGGATGGGTCCTTGTAGTTCAGAGTTCCACACACTCCATGCCATCCGTCAAGTGGCATCAAGCGCCACGCACCACGCGGACACAGTGCGGATTGGTGGGTATAATAAAGCAGCCAGGACCAAGGGCTTGTGCCTTCCGAAGTACGGAGGAGCTGGAGATAATTAATGTTATGGTCATCCATCTTATGACTGGCCCGTGCAAAAGTTGCTTAACTTCCGCATTGCAGACCAAACATGCTAACCACTGCGCCATCAAGCTCCTTAGTAAGAAAGAACGAATTAATTAGGTGTCTTATTATTAACTTTAGTAAATTAATCTATTAGTTCGTTCTTAGTAAACTTAATTAGATGAGATGGAAGTGTAGGAACGCATTATTACCATATTAATGTTACAGTTAAATTTATATTATGTTACAGTTGGAATGAACATTATAAAAATTTCGTGAAAGGAGTTCGGAAGTACCTGTTGAAAGAAAGAGACGAAGACATAGAAAAGGCAAAGCATCATATGCGGAAGTAAGTTAAAAGATATATGCTCAAATACCTATTCAGAGTCGCTTAATGTGGCACGGGCATTTGTATATTTGTGCAAAATTCGAACACACATTTGTAGATTGCCATTAGTCGGCTTTTGTACGCACGTCAAAGTAAATATGTAGTTTGTGAAGTAAACAAACTTCAAAGTTTGTGCAGCCTGTAAACTTGTTGCAATCTGTTACTATACTTCAAGATCAATGGAGCAGTTGCCTTATAATTTTTGCTTTAATAACGGAGTAGAGTAATGATGTTGTTGTTTGTCGAGTTTCACCAAACATAACCAGTAATATAGAAATAAAAACAAAGACCATAAAATGAGAATTCTTGTGAAAAACGCTACGAAATACCTGTATGGAATGTTCAAATAATGATTCTGTAAAATATATTTCACTACATAATAATTAACTTGCCTTGTGCTCTTACGATACGGTGTGGACATCTATTAACGTCTTCTTCATAATGGGCATTTAGCGTATTAGAGAAATTCAAAGACTCGCATAAAACAGAGTGACGGCATCTACAAAATCGTCGTCCATTAGATTCGTATATAAGTCTAGCAGACCCAAAAAAATATTAAAAGGGTTTTGAAATTTGTACTCTACTTTGATGATACGTATACCTCTATATCTGGAGCCCCCTTAGGCATAAAAAATTAATAAATAGGTAACAATTATTTAACCATAACTCAATAGTTTAGTTGGACGGGGCGGTGGTGTACTTTAAGTAAGTCGCTGTACTTACAGTAAAATTTTTTTCGCAGTCAAACATTGTTTTTAAACTTTAATTAATAGTCACAACAGAATATTATTAGAAGCTTAAAATTGTTAACGTAACAACCAATAGTAATATACTATAACAATTAGTAGTAATTAAAATAAAGTATATTTTTTACATACTTATAATAACGGGTATTAAACGCGATTTTTACAGCCGGGTTGCTCGTGGTGACCAAGGTCGGTGCAACCCGGCCGAAACGTCGGCGCAGATCAGTGTAAAAATTGCGTCCAATACCCATTATTATAAGAATGTAAAAATGCAGCGGGGTAATATAAAACTGATTTTTTTTCAGACTGTACTTCCTGCATCTAACCGTGCTTGTGGTGTTCATTTTCTTAATACTACGGACTGTGATGCAATTAACTAACACGCAAAAAGTTATCTGGAGCATCGGTGGATTAATAGATGCTTTATTATATTAGATAATAAATACGGGTGTAGAGATTAAACGAAAATAAATATATAAAATTTTTTGGTAGAGCTTATTATCGATAATCACACTTTTATGCTTATTATATTTATAATATTACATAAATGAATTATGAAAAACTAATATTTTATGGCCATCGTCACGTGACCGCGCACATAGAACCAGTGTTGCCAGCCCTACGGTTTTCACATTGATGCCCCTGTTTTCTGTTTTATTCTTAATTTTTATTGCTGCAATTAACGTGCAGCGGCACTTATAGCAATATGCAAATACTACAAAATAACCGATCTAATATAATTTATGTAAGCCCTGATAACCGATAAAGTATATCAGCCAAATCAATCAATCGTGTGCTTTTAGAAGATGATGTCAGAAGTCATAAAAACCGGCGAGTATGTATTAAGTAATAAAAGTGGATCAGGCGAAAGATGGCAAATCTGTAAGGTTGGGCCGTACATTGTGGCGTTCAATCCTCTCTGCCTACCCCGCCAGGTATAAGGTATAAAGATAAAGGTAGATAGATAGATGGATAGAGTATATTAGTTTTAACTATATGAGTATACGATGCATTTTATGTATCCTACTGTTTTCTCTTGTTTTTTATTGGTAATTTGTCGCTTTCTAGTTTCTTGGGGTTGGCTACACAATGACGTCATGAATATACGGACAGCGTTTTTGAGGTTATAATTAAAGTTTGAGTAGTTGAACCCAACATATTACAATACTGCTAAACTAAGGTCAGCCAACAAATTAACTGTCAAATCAACGAGATCACTTAATTTTATTGGTAGGATTAGGAGTGAAACAAAATAATTATTGTAGTAGGTGATTTTATTTAATACTCAAGATTCCGATTCCGACGGCCAGTGCCATCTATGGAAATGAGAGTAAGCAATGTACTTGATTACGATTGTTTTAATATGTTTATTATGATTTCAAAATTTGGTGCTACAATATTTATTCACAGCATAAAATAATAAACAACAAAGTTATTTTAGTCCTGTAGGTCACGTAATATTTTTTTAACCGAAAAAAAAACTAAATAAATGTTTAGGCGTCTTTTAAATCAGCCGTCTTATTGAGCGGTGCAGATGTCATAATGATTTAACTAGCAAACTAGGCATGTAATTATATAGTGCTATTCAAATAAACGATTACCCATCCAATTGAACGGCTATTTTAACCAGCTGGCTGCGACATAGGTATATAGTACTCTTTATTGCACTCAAAATTTTACATAAAAACAAGTAAATAAATTAATTACAAGGGTGGGCTTAGAGATCTCTTCCAGCCAACCTAGGAGTCGTGGGAGAGTAAGATATAAGCGGTTGAAAAAAATGCATGCAGAAGGTATACTTATAATGAACATATTTCAATAAATATAAGTAATTATTTCTTACTTTGTTTTATTTTACCTAACCCTTATAAATGTAATTTATAATAGGTATAATATTAGAAATAAATGGTATTCTGGTAATATAAAATTGTTATGATCTTACCTCCGTTTCATTATTATTTATCGAAAAATGTGTTCCTTCAGAGTCGTATTAAGGTTTCAAAAATAGATTATTATTCTAAAGGTAAAGGTAATGCCCTTAAATCTGTAAAATGAGGGAGGAAGTCAGAGGTATCCCAAACTGCCTTAGAGTCGTTTCATTTTTGAATATTAATAAAACACTCGAGTGCTTTAATAAGATCAAAATGACAAAACTTAGGCAGAATTTAGATTTTTAACGCAATATATAAAAATAGTCTATCTAGTGGTGTTTCAGAATATGATTAAAAAAGGTACACAAATAATGAGGAAGTATTCAAAAAAAACATTAGTTCCCGAAATAAAACTAGATGTCGCTACGGTACTTTCTTGATTTCTCTATGACAATCCTTCCGGTTTACTTTCATTTATAAAAGTAAATTAATTTTCAAAACTCAATAAACAACTCATATTCTATTTATACTTTTTCATATTTATATTGATATCTATATTTCATATTTATATTGAGATAGTTTAAAACTTTGCAAATTTCAGCTTTTTAATATGTTAGTTAAAAGAAACAAAAGTGAATATCTTTGGTCCATTCGGTTCCTGCAAAAATCAACTTTTGCTAGAGTCACCACTAATGAGGTGCTTTTTTAATGCTATAGTTTTTTCTTAAAATACTTCCTCATTATATAGAAACAATAAAACACAGAGTAGTTTTAAGTTTATTTTAGCGAGTGACTTAAAAATACCATAATTCATGATCAATTGGAGCAAATGAACGTCTCGAAGTATGTTGTTTTCATGTTTGTTCGTTTTGAACAGCTATAGCAGTGTTACAGAGAAATGGTTAAGATTTAAATTCAAGCTAGAAAAAAATACTCTCGTCAACTGCAGGTCATGTTATTAAAATAAAAATATAATATAAGTAATTACAAAATCAAATAAGCTTACACTGTCAAGTAGTATAATAGTTTCCTAAAAGAAAATGTTTCCACCATTCAATCTCCTTGGAAATACATTTACTTATTTTGTTTTTATCAAATATATTAAAATAGCATTCTAACAGCCCCTTTGTTCGCGTGGCTCTGTATTATTACAAACGTATCTTTCTCTTAAATCGATCCGTATATTTATGAAAAGTGCATAATGTAGTTCAAAAGATGTCAGCGTATAGACAGCGAGAAGCGACTTTGTTTTATACTATAATATAGTATATAGATATGTAGGTAGAACGCAACTGAACTACAATTTTTTTGTAACAATGTATTAATGTACTTAGCCTCTGTTTGACTATTTTAATTTGATTTAATAATATTTTATTAAAGTAATATTAAATCTATAATTCAAATTAAATATGTGTATAATTTTAAAAAGTTATGATAGTGGTATCAAAGGAACTAAAATATAAGTTAATAAATAAAAAGATTGATTAATTACACTATAGAGATGAGAAACCTTGAAATTCATTAAAACTAATCGATTCCACAACGTTATTGCCCAGCACTACTTTGAAGTTTTTGACATTTGTGATGTTTTCTCTATGACATTTTAGTTATAAACAAATTCCGAAATATCCGGAGTCTTACAGGCTACAGTTTCTACATGGTTTCTACTTTCGTGCAATGTGAATTAAGAAATAAATGCAAACATGTTCAACAAGTTGTTTCAGCGTGCTTTCGATCGTACCTTAAAATTCCGACTTAAGAAAAACTATCCGACCAACATATACGATTTATCAAGAGGATCCGCTATAGAAGTAAGAAGACCATACAGTGATGAAGTTCGAAAAGCTCAAGCACAAAGCGTGGCTACGCCGGGACCAACGATATTCGACAAAATAATCTCCAAGGAAATAAAGGCAGACATTATTTATGAAGACGAGTTCTGCCTCGCATTCAACGATATCTCTCCTCAAGCGCCAGTGCATTTCTTGGTGATTCCTAAACGCAGGATATCAAGGCTTCAAGACGCTGCTGATGGTGACAAAGAGGTAAAATTTTATTTTGCATAACAGTCCGTAAGCAAATAATATTGTTAGTCTATTACCATTTTGTCCTTTTACTTCAATTTTAAAATTCGAAGGTCATAACTAAAAATACAAAAACGGCCTTTAAAGCACTGAACTTTTTTTAAAATCAATCTACCATGACTTTCTAGTTGAGCATTTGCATATAAATAAAAACCTTTTTTAAAAATACAACTGACTTCTAACTTTATCTTGGTTCTATTTTCTTTTTAGTTTTTATTTCAAGCTTTTTAGTGAAGTGTATATTTTTTATGTAACACTAAAAATATTAAATATAAATAAAGATATTCAACATAGTAAAAATCTTGGAAAAGAACATTTATATTCAACATAGTGAAAGTCTTAGAAAAGATTTTGTTTATAAGCTTGACATAATTTTTTACAATAATTCTATACTTATAATATAAAGAGGAAAGATTTAAGTGCTTTTTTGGCTGCATTAGATAGGCCCCGAAACCATTGAACCAATCTATAAAAGTCTCTCTTTTACGGGAAGCTACATAAAATGCGGGGGACATAGATTATAATTTACGCAGACAAAGTCATGGGGAAACAGCAAATTTGATAGAAATTGGATTTACAATTCAAGATGAAATCGATGAACATACCTACTCAGATGAAAGATATGTGAAATACATGCCTACCCCTGTATATATAATTTACTCTTTGATACCTATTCTATGACTTTCATAAAAAAATATACAACAAATGTTGCAAATATTGGTGAACATACATAAAAAAAAACATACAACACAGTCTAACATATAACCTCCTCCTTTTGGATTTTGAATCACTTAAAAGGCCACAATCAAAATAATAAATTCGACAATCAAACTAAACTGACTTCACCATTCATTGACAATGAAAATTACCCTTAGGTCAACTACATATAGCCCTAGCATATTGTCAGTTCATTAGTAAAAGTCACTAAGTATAATTTGATTAATAATGAGATGTTGATACTATTATCATTACATTAAGAAAAAATACTATAAATGCATATCAAGCTCTATTATCTAATAACTATAAAAATTGTGCATTATTATAAGTCTAAACATAATACCGAACACAGGATTTTTCATTTAATACTACATATGAATTATCATAATTACTTAATTATCTAATCACAAGGAATTTTACCTTTGAACTGAAATTTTAATATTATAAAGGATTTATAAAAAAATCACTAACTGTTGTGCATTGTTTTGACCATTGAATGAGTTGAATTGAAGGGCACATTTCTGTCTAAAACTAAGAAACCTATCAAATCTCTTTACGGCATGCAAATTGTCGCAATCTAGGGTAACTGAAACTGAAATTTTCATAAGTGGTTTTCTAAGTGAAAACATATTTTCATAACTTTTTGTATACTATGCCAAACTTTTGCATCTTCTGTTTCATTATTACTTTTTAAATTTTATGTGATATTCAATTTTCCAAAGTAATGTTCATTTGTTGACTAATTAAATAGTGATTTAACTTTACAGTACCTTATCACATTGTTTGCTTTGATAAGAACCACATTGTGAGGACATTTTGTGCGTTGTGTGCTAAACTTACTTTCTTCTTTATCTGATTATAAAAACTTTATTATCATTAGAAAAATAAAAAAATAAAGGACAAAAAACATATTTTACTGTTGTATGAAATAGTCACATTATCTAACCAAATTACACCAGAGACATATTCAACCATTTTAACAAAAATATCTTCAAAAGAAAAACAATGCTCTTATATCTAAGTAAAACTCATGTAGCAGTAATTACCAGTTATATTATAAAAAATATATTCTATTAATTAATTTAATGAATAGCAAGTAATTCTGTTCTATTGACTAAAAGTAAGTGAAACTATGATTTCAAGTTTTTTTGAAGATTACATTAGAAGAGAATTTAAAAAATGCTCCATTTTCACATTATAAATAGATAAGTATACTATCTCACTCTAATGAGTTGTTATCAACATTCCAGAGGTGTTGCTCACACACCTTTATAGATAAATGATTATTAATCACTTTCATACTATATGATATACACGACATGACTATATGATAAAGTTATAAAAACGAAAATAATATTTTTCAGTACAATTATAGATGTAATACATGTTAAAATATTTTTTAGAATGTCATAGGTGTAAAGGTTCATTATATGATTTATGGTCAGTTGCTTGTCAAGTTTAATGACCCCTTTAAGCTCTAATGAATGTCAAATTTGTATCGATAATGTCGCTTTAAACCAATGACCATTTTAATGGATGTTTGTGCAATTAACTGAAACTCTATTATAAAGTAGCATTTATGTTTATTCTGTCATACATTTCATGGAAGTCGTAAATTAACAGCACTGCCGGTGGGATCCGATTTAAAGCCTGGTAGACATGATATTAATTGACTGTATGTAAAATATTACGCATTGTGAATGCAAAATTCATCAAATATAATAATCAAAAGAATATAATTAATAGTGGCTTAAATACTATCAAAAACTTTTGGGTAAGACTCCTTTGCATGAATTGGAAAGGATCAAGAAACAAATTCTGCGTCCTAAATATGTTTTTTTCTTCAGGTGGAAGCAGTGTGTGTTTATTTTTCTCATAAAATAATAGATTACGATACCGGGTCGATTGTCTTCTTTTCAGCACCTTGCCAAGTTTCGAATCTGTTCAAACATGTAAATTTTACCCACATCTAGTTATCCCTCTTACGACAAAAAACAGGCTTTGTTATATTACAGAACTAAATCAATCAACACTTCGTAGTTGGGTTTCACGAAATTTTAATTTCTTTAATTAAAAAATAACCGTCGCAGATGCCAGGGTGAACTTGAATCAACGATCTCTCACAATCGAATAACCTTCCATCCAACTGAGGTACTACAACTAGTTTACATGGATTATCAGAACATTGATTGTAATGTCGTTTATAGTTAGATTTTCGGTAAATCAGTAGGTAGAGCGTTCGCCAGGACAACGATGGGTGGTCGATTCAAGTCGTTCCAGGGGCTGGAATCTTGAGTTTGATAGTGATAGTAGCGATTGTTCAGTGCAAAGCCCGAACTGTCACGAGAAACTAAGGAATATAGTTAATTTGGCAGTTGGAACTCGATTTGCGCCTAACAAACAACAAATATATTTAACTGTAGAGAGTTGCAAGCAATAATGGTTAAAATACGATCGCTCTGAGTTAGCGACCGCGTTATGATCGTAAACTCATAGATACTGCAGCCTCTAGTACGAAGACAGTATTTTTTTCATGTATTTTTAAGATAAATATCAAGGTAGCATCATAAATAATTCCCTAATTGTATTTTTTCAGCTCCTTGGCCATTTGATGTTAGTGGCTCGCTTGCTTGGGGCTCAGCGCGCACCATCCGGTTGGCGACTGGTGGTTAACAACGGTCGTGATGGAGCACAGTCGGTATACCACGTGCATTTGCACGTGTTGGGCGGCAGGCAGATGGGATGGCCGCCCGGTTAAAGTTGATACTTTAACGAATAATTTTGATACTTGCGTTGGTAGTTCGAAAATGTATATACCATTTGTACAATGAATGATGCTGTTTGAGCGAAATGAATTTATAGTTTTCGAACTACCATCGTTTTCACAAAACTAAAAGTGGGTAAATGGAATAAGATTTTCGTAAATAATGTTAGGCTTGATAGATTCAAATAAACTAAAGAACAATACTTTACAATCAAATAAAATTATTTTAATTCTTAAACTGCTTCAGTTTGGTAAAAAAATATGACTCTGTGACTATATCTACTTGGGTCTTTTTTAAGTTTTACTGTAAATAAAAAAGACGCTTTAAGTTTCGTTGGATTGTTTAATGTATCGTTTCACTGTCTTAGCTATGATTTCCATAGTTTTGTATTAGTCGATGCAATATAAGTTCTATTAAAAGAACAAAGGAACACACTATATTTTACAATCGATTCTCGGTATGATACTTAAGAAATGAAATTTATTCACCTAAAAAATAGAATTCATATTTGCCAATGCACGTGTTAGAGTTGTTTTCTGCGCGACAACGTGAACAATAGTGCCCATGTTTATGCTATTTTTGGTAAGTTTCTTGTAAGTGCAATAAATGGCCAAATTAGCTTTTAAGATATTTCAAGTTTTATATAATACGCGGCGGTTACGTAATTGTGTGGCGGTAATAACCACAGTTTGAAGCTATAGCTATTTTAATATGTATAGGAAATGTTTCTGATAAACATATCACGTTTTTTGTGCTCATTTAGATAGGTGCCATTTTTTATTATTGAATTAGATCACATCAACACAATAGAAAATTAGAATTCAAATGAATTCTGGTTATATCGAACCAGTTCCGAAATTGTCTTTGTTCGGCGACCGTGCAATTTATTTATTTTACATAATTAATATTAATGTAGATAAATTCTTTGAAATAATATTGAAACATTATTATGAATGCGTAATTAATTTATAATAATATGCAACACATACAGCTAATCATAATATATCAAAGTCCTGCAATTAAATATGCCCTTTAAGCCTATCACTGTAAGATTCGAAATCATTTGGGGTGATTTGGCAGTTGTGGATGATATGATCTTAGTAGTCGACTGTATTAATTCTTAATATTATTAATAGTAGTTTTTCCAATCACAAATAAAATAAAAATTTACCTACATAATTGAAGATCTTTGGTTTAATGGTTATATATAATTATAAAAGTGTTCTACTCTAGAATCTCATTGTTAAACTCTGCCAAACTTTGAATAACATATCGAATCTAGTCTGAAAAAAATATTCTCTTTATTATAAGCAACAAACTGTGGCGTTACTTTGTACTACACAATTTAATAACTCATTTACTTATAAAATGCTGAAAATATGTTTAAGTATTGTTTAAGGGAGTATCATAAATATTAAATAAAGGTATATTTGCAAAATTTTGTTTAAAAACAGAGCAATGATTGCCATTGAATTAATGTTTAATAAGAGGAATCAGTTTATCTTATGTTTATTTTGTTAAGCATACCTACCTATACAGTATTATTAATAAACAAAGTTAATAAGCGTAAATTTACTCCAACGCTAGGAGTAAATTTACGCTGAGACTGCACTTAGTATTATCCAAAATGATTATTATTAAACAGAGACTTAGCAAAGGTTATCCAAGTACTACTACGGGAGTAATATTTACACCTAGAAGGTCGTAAGTTGGCTCATTCTCTGTATAATATGAATTTGGACTAATACTAAAATTCCAAGTTTAGCGTAAATTTACTGTGACTTTAAAACTTGTTTATTAATAGCACTGATAAGGTTTCTTTTTCTTTTATTATACGTAAGTAAAGTATACTATTAATTTCTTTTCAAAAATTTTGTTTTGCACTACAGTAAAACCCGACTAATGTAACGTGTGATGAATATTCGTTTGCGCAAGCCACGCCTACTAATTCCAGTGAGAACCGGACGTAGGTATAATCAAAATTTATAATCAGTCTATTTCTAATGATCATAAGGTGTAAAGTACAATGCATTTAGTTTCTTAGTTATTCTCGGCGGGCGCACGCTATTTAAAATCTGATTAGTCCGATTATTAGATTTCTACACAGGTACATCCTAAAGTCATATTAGAAGTGTTTTACTGTGATTATTCAAACCTGTTTAAACAACGCTTCATGCCAAATTATTCTAAAGCAGTTTTCTTAATATAGAAAGTAGGCATTAATTTGGTAATGGTTTTTAGGTTATGTTTGTAAGCAATTTTAGTTTTCCTCAAATATTGTAAAATTTGTTCTATAATATTTTAAAAATTGCGCGTATCCGTTATAGTACAAACAAAAAGAGTATGTTACTTTGAATGTAATAGATTTTTATTGATAATAGTGCCATTTTCATAAAAACAGTTATTTTTTTTCTCTGTACCCAAAATACTGCGCTGTGCAAATAGCTATGTGATGGTGGCAATTCTGTTGCATAAACTAGCCTAAAAATGAATGTTTTAATCCTATCCAACGATGTTTTCAATTCACTTAATAAGTAAGATAAAATAAAACGGTAATAAACATATTATATTACAGTGTACAGGAGTAAAAAATTTTTTTTTATTTTAATTAAAACAGAAATAGTTAAGATGGTGGTGCATCATAATTGTCACCAATATATGCAATTAAAATTTATCTGTGTTGCGGATCGTTTTGCACATCGTGGTTTCTTAATTATCTGATAAAATAGACTCGCTTATTATTATATCGATTAACATAATAAACGAATTAATTAATATTTATTGAAAATATCTTCAACATATAAAGATTGCGCTAGAAAAAACTATAGGAGTTAAGCTGCAGTTTTTTTCTTGTTCAATTATTGTGTAATGATTCGTTTGCCATATATTACTAGGTAAACTTGTTAAATATTATTTATACATACTATTGTAATGTGCAGATAAAATTACCTAGGTTGATTAAAAATTCGTTGTGTACATTAGCACACCAAGGGAGTCTCGTTATTAGTCCATAAAGGCAGTACAAACGCAAGCATTTCATTAATTATTCAATTATCCAAGAGAAGGAAAGACCGTCTGCATGTAAGCGGAAACTTCCCTCCGTTCGAAGGAGAAAGAAAATCGCATTACCGTACCTGTCTGCAGACGCGTGCTCAGTGAAGGACAGTTATAAACCGTCGAATAGTTCTGCTAAGCTAGAAAATAGGGACAGACTCGGTAAATCTATCCTCTCTCTCTCTGACTGGACTCCTGACTTCCCGGCTCTATTTAGACACCTCTATGGTCTCGATTTAAGAGCTAATTAGAGACCCCTAGGTGTGGATTGACGAATGCGCTCATGTTCTTTTGCTTTTATTTTAATGTTTAAAGCAATAATGAAATATGGTGCTAGTCATTAAATCGTTAAGAATTTAATGTCATTTTAAATTCTGTAACCAAAGTTTTATTAAATGATTTATTATATAATGGTGTTTTAAATATACCTAGTAAGTGTAAATAAGATGTTTACGATTACATTTTATATTGCAATTATGAAAAAAAGGCTTATACTTACTTAAAAGGACTTTATTATCATAAAGGAGATTGCTTCAGTCCTTTTTCCCCACTGCACGGGCTCAGGCCTTCCCTATGGATGGTTAAGAAGGATGGGCCATGACCCTCCACGCTGGATGGCCCATGGAAGTATGGAATTAGGTTTCACATTGTATCACGACGTGTTTTCTAATTCGTCAATATTTTTATCTCTAGTTTGTTGGATTCATGAGAAAACGCTAACGAAGTTCATCAAATTAGGTGATTATTCATAAGATTTCAATGCAAACTAAGTCTTTTTTATAACAGCCGTAATATAGATTTACTAAAAATTTTTTGTTATGGTTTTTTTCCGTTATGCACAGAAATTCTGCCAACATCCCGTAGTGAGTGATGAAATAATGGAAAAACTCTGTGACGCAGTGGTTAGCGCGTTTGGTTAAGAATTTACTTTCGCAAGGGCAGATGCAGATCCTTCATGCTCGTGCGCACATAATGAGCGTTTAACAGTTGATCTCAGCTGTATCTACAGTCTTTTACAACAACGAATTCATATTGGGCCCGCATAGTGGGACATCGTGGTCCATTCTACCTAGGACATTAACAGGCTGGTTGTGTGTAATCAATAAGTGAATTTTATAATTACCTCGTGTGAAATAAAAGTTGCGTAACTTTTTTTTATAATTAACTTATATTTCTAAAATGTTCAGTAACCGTTAAATAGATAATAATCAACAATAATATAATATATTATAGGTCCTTATATGGAATTGGTGTTTTGTCGTACTGGCCATTTTAATCACAAATTTCTCCTCCTTTGTTTGGAATACCAAATTCAAATTTGTACAGTCATTTACACATGTATTTGTGTTTCGTTAGGCGGCATTCATGTTTTTTTTTTCTTCTGTTTCTCCTATTTATGTCCGTCCCGTCTATACATCTCCGTGTATAAAAAATGGAAAACTTGAAATATCGTATTATTTACGAGCATGAGTTCCACCGTGGTGCTGCGGCAACGGCTCCAAGAGTTAATGATGAGTATGGCGGTTGTGTCGCAAAAGAAAACACAGTGCGTTTTTGGTTCCAATGTTTTCGTTCTGGAAATTTCGACCTGGACCCGGAGACCCAAGTTAATAATGAAGAATCGAAGGCAATTGTGAAAGCGGATCCATCGCAAACCACGTCCGAGTAAGCTGCAGGCTGCGGTGTTAGTGATAAAACTCTTTTAATCCACTTCAAGCAAACTGGAAAGATTAAAAAGCTTGAAAGGTGGGTACCTCACGAATTGAGTGAAACAAACCGGCAATCGCGTTTCGACTGCTGCGTTACATTACTTAATCGGCACAATAATGAAGGGTTTTTAAATCGAATCATTACCTGTGATGAAAAGTGGATTCTCTACGATAATCCACTTTCTGCCCCAAGCGAAAGTTGACTCCCAAAAAAGTTACTTGTAAGCGTTTGGTGGACTAGTGCCGGTGTCGTTCATTATAGTTTTCTCAAATCTGGCCAGACGATTACGAAGGACGTCTATTATCAGCAATTGCAAACAATGCTGTAAAAAGCTGTTACACAACCGAGGCTGGTCATTCGCTCTTCGCCACTGCTAACTCACGACAACGCTTGACCACACACTACACAACAGACGGCTACCAAATTAGAAGGGTTTCAATTGGAATGTCTAAGAATCCACCGTACTCCCCAGACCTTGCTCTAACAGATTACCATTTTTTTTCGAAATTTGGATAACTTGCAAGGGAAAAATTCAACTCCAATGGGGCAGTGCAAATTTGCTTCAAAGATTTTATTGATTCCCGTCCGAATGGTTTTTTTTAGTAAGGGGATCAATGAACTACCTATGAGATTGCAAAAATGCACAATGGTTTATACTTTGATTAAATAAATATATTAAAAAATATTCGACTTTTTGTTCCTCCCATACCAAACACCAATTTCATCTGTAAGGACCTAATTTTTTATTCAAAATGACCGCTCTAGTTTTTAATACAGGCTCTTAGACGATTTGGCTAGTCATCAATGGCGGCTTTTCTAGCGGAATTCGCTTTGCTTCTTGAACAAGGGTTCTCTTCAGTGACTCCCAGTTTGGGTTGGACTTTCGGCAGGCCCTGAGCTCTAATTCAGTCCATTAAGAATAACCCAGCGGGTTAATGTCGGAGCTGGAGGAAAGCCACTCGTCCGCCGTGATGAAGGCCGGCACATTTCCCTCAACCATGCTTAGGTACTTTTTGCCTTATGGGATGGCGCCAAGTTTTGCTCAAAAACCCAATCCTTATTGTGAAATAATGTATCACTCTGATAATTCTTGGCTTTTACCTCGACACCTTGTCAGAAATGGAGCAGATTGACAGAGTACAAAATTCCTCACCATACCATCACACTAGCCGGATGATAAGTTCGCGTGACATCACGTGCAGAAGCTGGGACATCCTTGCTACTTTTAGCGTACACTTTATTGTTTTGTCGGTTGAACTTTTCTTCGACGACTTCGCGTCATAACTTACCAAAACGATCGTTTAAAAAGTTAACTTTTCTACGGCTATAGGCCTTTACCTTAAGATCATATTTCAGTATTCTGTTCACTGAAATGTTAGTCTGCAGAGCGAGTTTCTTTCCGAGTGCGATATGGATTTCGGCGAAATTGCTCTCGGGTGATTTTGACGTTCGCAGGCGTCCTCACAGAGCGTGGCCGATCACTCCTTTGGCGATCTTGCAGAGAACTTGTCTATTTGAATCGCTGTATTGTGTAATAGACGAAGTTACTACTTTCAAAAAAACTTTTCAGCTCGCGGAAAATCTGCATGGGTTTTTTTCCCGCCCTTAATAGCGAAATGACAATTGCACGTTATTGTTTCGTTCCCTCCATCACGAGAAAATATAAACAAATGAATTTGCGATACAAATAAACTAAAACTTAATATTCTAAATTCAAAATGGGTAAAAAATAATAATAACAGCCAGTAACATTTTATTTTATTTTTTCTGTAAAAAGTTTGTCTCAAACTTATGAATATACGAGGTATAAAAAAATGACACAAAATCAATGCATTTTAATCCGAATCTTTATTGAACAATCATCATTTAGAAATAGTAGTATGGTGGTGGAGCGACTGGCTCATATGCATACGAAATTGTTGGCTCATAATTAATCTCTGGAGTATATGTTATGCTGGGTTCGTATTCTAAAAAGGGAGAGTAAGACACGACAGGTTCTAAAGCATACGGAGTAGGAGGAGCGCAGGGGCTAGGGTAGTATGTAGGTGGGGCTGGGGGCAGCGGCGCAGGTGTGGGGTAAATAGGGGTGGGGTATGGGGCAGGTGGGAAAATTGGGGCAGGTGTTGGCAGCACCACAGGAGCGGGGGGAGGGGCAATAATGGGTGCAGGAGCTGTCGGGTATGTGATTGGAGCCGAGTACGATATTGGTGCTTGGTAAGATACTGGTGACGGGTAAGCTACCGGTGCTGGCGCGGTGTATTGCGGCTTAGGCGAAGGCGGCAATAAGAATGCAGCAGAAAACTGTAGGGAAAATTATAAATATTAAAACTAAAAAATATTATTTTATTATTTAAAATATTATAAACGTAGGTATACGCATATTGGCGACGTAAATATATTTTTTTTTTATTTCTTTTAAAAAAAAATGTAACTGCTGTGTAATATATACATACACTTCATATATGTTTATATACGGTCCAAGAAGACGATAAACCTTATCATGTATCTGCCTGATTTGATATAAAACTACGCGACTTAGTTTTAAATGCATACCGACTGGATGACATCCTGATGTCTGTGGGAAGCGCATGCATTCCCTCTGCCTGATTAATGAACTACATATCACTTTTTGGTGCTTTGTTCTGATACTGATAGATGCCTAATGCCATAAGTCTTATTTGTATAGTTTAGCTCGGAATAAATTTTTAATAAGTACCTAAATATATAAAATATTGCGCACTTTGTCCATTTATACAATTGGGAAATTTTAATTGAAAGAAATGTTCTTTCAACGGGTCCACTTACCAGTCTTAGGCTTAACGTTTCGTTGCTATAGAGCCAAGTATTAGAATCAGAATAATGATATTGGCTTCGCAAGGAAACATAAGTTAAATACTCAATCATATCAAGAGACTTACAAAAAACCAATAGGTTTATCTAATTATCTAATTATTTAGGTGATTAAATAATATTTTTGTTTAAAAATAGAGATTTGTTATAGAGCAATAAAAATTTATATTCAAATAATTAATTGAATTAAAAACGCGCTTACCTGCACGATAGCCAACGAGCAAACAAATACAGCCTTCATTTTCGATGCTACAGGATGAATTGTGACATGGAAGCTCCGTGTCAACCTATATTTCAACCCTTATCTCTAAACTAAGAAAAGTACTCATGCAATTTACATGTTTATTGGAATATGTTAAGATTCATATTTCAATGCACTAGAACATTTCATTTGATAGTATTCCGCAACAGCTGTTGACGATTAAGCATAGTAAGGTTATTTTTATTATAGGTACTGTTTACATTTGATACCTATATTTTCAGCTACACTTTAAAACATCATCAGCCCTTTTTTACGTTCCCACTGCAGGGGCTCAGACCTTATGGATGGTTAAGGAGGTTGGCTATAACCCTCCACGCTGGCCCAATGCGCATTGGAGCAGGCCTGTCTTTACCTGGCGAGTCCTAGGACGAAGTCCTAAGATGACGATAATGAGTTTTGGTCATCTATCTTAAAGTGTAGTGTTGTGTCACTCACACTTTTTTATTGGGGATGAGTGAGAACCTCGTTTTACCTTATGGGATACTCACGAGGTACCCCTCATTTGAGGCGAGGCAAAGAGAATTAATTAAACGCAATGATTGAGTATGTAGCGAGGTGTAAGGCATATGAGGGAGGGCATCGGTCGCTTAGTGCGCGCCACTACTCGCCGGCCGAGCCGAGAGAAACATTTGTGATTAATAAATCATCAAACATTGACAGCTATAACAATTACATATTGTTGTAAAGCAAGTTATTGTAAAAATATTTTCTTACGCAGAATGAATGCCTTTTGGTTATAAATTTTTTATTATTAATAATATTAATCTAAGATAATGTTAAATAGGCACTCATTGCGAGGAAACGCTAAACTAAACGTCTAAAGTCTATACTGAAGTTGACTTTCGCATCGCAATGGCATCAAAAATTAACATATTCTTGTTAACATATTTTTTTGTTGGTACCTACGTAATTTGTTGTATAGGCGAATCATTAAAAATATTAACCAAGAAGTGATATGAAAATTTTATCGAGTAAGAAGTTTTTGATGATTCAAATAAGGGTCATTCAACTACGTTACGTAGTATCATTAAAATAATTCCGTCATTTTTCTGTCTAGCTTACTACATGCAACTTAAAGGTACAGATAATCAATATCATGCTATCCAATACTGTCAATAATTACCAAATGATTTTATACCTTAACTCGGTGAAAATAAAATTAAATACGAAGATGATATATTTTATCAATATTTAACCGTACTATTTTACTACGTTTAAATAAAAAATAAGTGCGAACAGTTATTATCGGCTTTTTATTGTCACAAATTTTCATGGAAATTGTTGTAATAACTATATCTAGGCAATTAAATTATTAATTACCTATCAGAATACTCAATTGTTGTAGCAATCGAGAGACGGTAATATTTTCACAATTTGTAGGTAAACGTGAGAAATAGTAAATTGATTATCGCAGTACGTGACGTCTATTAACCCACTTTTGCTTTAAATGTTCTTGGCGCGTGCGCACAATATTGATTTATCTGTTTGTTTGTTTGCGTTGAATAGAGTCCGAAACAACTGGACCGATTTTAAAACCTCCACATACGGGAAGCTACATCGTACTCGAGGCTATAATTTACGCGGGTGAAGTCGCAGAAAGAGTTAGAATCCAGTATATTTTTTGGTGCGTCATTTGGGTCTTTTTGGGTACAAAAACAAAGACATGGGCTATTCTCCCTATTCGATTCCGTTGATAGGGAAGGCCTTTGCTCCAATAGTAAGAACAATTATAGGCTGGTGATGATGATTTAATTAATTAAAATTTCAATAATGCTGAATGTATAGTACTAGGATAAAAAGAAATCTCAATGGTTATATTATTTAAGCTTAAAAATATCCTCTAATGTAGCGGTGAATAGTTTTGGAGAAATAAGATCTCCTTGTCTCCCGCTTCGCTGCAATTGTATTGGATTTGTATTGGATTTTAAAACCTCGATACACCTGTAGTCTACTTGGCACCTTTGGAGAGATTGCAACACTATGTACTCTATATCAGGTATGGGAAACCTTAGACATGTAGGCCAAACTTTAGTGTACAAATATGTTTGCGGGCTGCATTTTAAAATAGTGTTGCGATAGAAACTCATAATTTTTGCGATAGATATCGGATATGAAATAATACGACAATGTTATTATAATATCAATTTATTAAAATAAGACAATTAAATAATAACATTATAATGAAATTGTTAAATTTGGAATTGTTACAAACTATGAAAGTTAAATAGCGATACACTTGACACTTGAGCTTGAACTTGGGAAACTAATCCATCGATGTTTGGATTAATTCCATATTATCGTCAGTCAGCCTTGAACGATATTTCGTTTTATTAATTTTCATCAGAGAAAGGAACTGTTCGCATATATTAGTACTGCCAAACGCATAAATCAATCTTCTTGCGAATTTTCTAAGCTGCAGAAAATGGTCTTCTTCGAGGTATTTTTTGTAGAAATCACACAACTTCACGTCTTCAAATTTAGATTTTAGGAGTGAGTTTTCTTGAATCTCGATCAACTTCATTTGTAAGTTTTTTGGAGAATTTTGCTTATATTTACATATTACTTTTTGTTGAGTAGCAAATAAATTGAAATAGTCTTCCATGTTTTTGAAATTGCTAAATTTGTTCGAAAATTGCTCCGACAGTGCCTTGAGTTCTTCAGCATATTGAGCATAAGTAATATTCCCACACGCAGACATGCTGAACGTGGTGAAATGGTAACTGTTTCCAGAGAGCGTCTGTGCCTCCCATAAGCGGCTTTTATTCTGAAACGCTTTCAAATGGCTGAACAAATCATTAACTAACTGTCTTGTTTTTGAAGTCTGCCGTAATTGTCTGACCAGATTTGAGATACTGTAATGAACTACACCGATAATAGTCCACCAAACGCTTACAAGTAACTTTTTGGGGTCAATTTTCGCTTGGGGCAGGATTTTGCTGGTATGCCAAGGTTCAACCATTGCGATGAGCGCTTCCGATTATCGTTGAGAATCCACTTTTCATCATAGGATTTAAAAACCCTTGATTATTGTACCGGTTAAGTAATGTCGTTAGGCGGCATTCATCAACGCAGCAGTCGAAGCGCGTTTGCTTCACTCAATACCTTTCAGACTTTTTAATCTTTCCAATTTGCTTCAAGTGGATCAAAACAGTTTTATCAGTAACACCGCAGCCTGCAGTTAACTCGGACGTGGTTTGCGATGGATCCGCTTCCACAATAGCCTTCAAGTCTTCATTATTAACTTGGGTCTCCGGCCGTCTACGGGGCTTGTTCTGCAGGTCGAAATTTCCTGAACGAAAACGTTGGAACCAAAAACGTATTGTGTTTTATTTTGAAACACAACCGCCATACACATCATTAACCCTTCGAGCCGTTGCCTCAGCACTGGTACCATGGTGGAACTCGTACTCGCAAATAACACGATATTTCAAGTTTTTTCATTTTTTATACTGGGTTTCGTAAATAGGACAAACAGAAGAAAAAAAAACGAATGCCGCTAACGAAACACAAATACATGTGTAAAATGACTGTATAAATTTGAATTTGGAATTCCCAACCAAGTAGGAAAAATTTGTGATTAAAGTGGCCAGTACGACAAAACACCAATTTCATATGGAAGGACCTAATATAATTAGTATGCACTCAAGATGCACACAAAGTCACAAAGTAAATTGACGGCACTAGCAGTTCGCTAGGATATCGCTCGTCGAAGTTATCACCTCGGTAGCTCAAGTAGAACTGAACTAAAGTTCGGGCCATCCAAGCCGGTAAATATAGGCAAAATGAAGGAATGATCTAGAATAGTCTAGTGTACAACGGTTGAGAAGAAATAATCTTTGTTGCGCCGCCAGTGATGCGGCAAACATCAAAAGCTTTGAATGTTTGCCGCCTAGTTATATCAAGTCTCGTTTAAAATAATGTTTAATCTCCGCTAATATAATGATTAATTAATTAATTTAATTTGAAGTTAGTGGTTTTTAAGTACGTGAAAAAATGTGGGCGCTTAAAAATAATTTATTCTCAAAGTGGGCAGTAGACAAAATAAATTTGGGAACCCCTGATCTAAAATAAAACACTAATCAACGGCATCCGTACAATGTTTATTTAATAATAATTATTAAATTACAATAATAATGTTTTTTTCAGTTACTAATATCTATCTAAGTACCTATTACATTAACCTTATATACAACAGACGTTGATTTACTATATATAATAAAAAATGATACAACTGGTTATTATATTAAGATTTTTAAATTATGTATTCAAATAGGGAGATGTCCGTGAATACAAAAATGTTTAAACCTGATTCCCCCTTCTTATAAAACTGAAATTAGTAGGTAATTGGTTTAAACAGGTTAAAAACCATTGGCGGCTTAAATCAAATTGCCAATGACAGTAGAGAAAACGCCAAAGTTGAGAACATGTTGTCGTATTTTGGTCGGACAATAGTTTACCTAGTACTAAAGTTAGTCCTCTGTTACAATAAGTTGGATCCAGCTTGGACTCTGGACTCCACGCTGACAAGAGAGTTGAAATAGCATCTTTAATTAAATTAGTAAGTAATTGGTTTAAACAGGTTAAAAACCATTGGCAGCTTAAATCAAATTGACAATGACAGTAGAGAAAACGCCAAAGTTGAGAACATGTTGTCGTATTTTGGTCGGACAATAGTTTACCTAGTACTAAAGTTAGTCCTCTGTTACAATAAGTTGGATCCAGCTTGGACTCTGGACTCCACGCTGACAAGAGAGTTGAAATAGCATCTTTAATTAAGGCAAAATAGCTGCCATAAAGGGTAAATCCAGTGGTTATAAACACTTATAATCCAACACATTACGGTATCTAACTGAAGGCCAGACATAAATATATCTCTATATGCATTGTTTTATAACCATAGAATAGCTAATTTACCCCCGCTGGTGGTAATTACCCCTAGGTCAGGAACCACGTGTACAAAGCTTATTAAAAGAACCGGCCAAGAGCGACTCGGATTCGAACATGTAGGGTTCCGTAGCGGAAACAAGCAAACAAAAATTGAACAAATGTCCATTATAGTTTAATGATAACTTTAAGCACTAAGCAGTACCAGGTTTCTATCCCGGTTAGAAAAAAATATGAAAATCCTGGGATGATAATATCTGTGTCATTGTCATATGCGAATACAAGCCGGATAGACTTGTCAGTTGTATCATTTTGTTTATATGAGAAAATCATAATAAGACGTCGCCGCCAGAGAAGGTCGAATACGAAAGTTCAGAGTGTTATAAACCAAGTAAAAATGTTTGAATTAACATTTTTACATTTTTATTTAGCACTCCAACTTTAAAAAACTTTTTTAGTAGGGCTTCCTTAGGCGTCAAAATCCTTAATGTTATACTACACCTCAACGTGAAAAAGCGAGGACGTTAATTCATTAATGTTAATAAAATAACTAAGTAATTATTGCAAGCATTGCATTGGGCCCAATCTTATATCGTTAACTAAAGACGTGACAAATAAGAGAGTATTTCGTCTTTCATTGTTTCTAGATAAAGTATAGCACGAAGTAAAATACAGTAGTGGGAAGAATAATTATTTTCAACTCCATGTTATGAGAATAAGTAACTATAGAATTCGGTTGCTACTAAACATTATATTACTTTTATTGAGAATCGAGTGATTTAGTCGATAATACCTATAACGTTAAGCGGTTGCATATAAACTGATTATAAATGTAAAAAAATTAAGTAAACATCAGCACAGCTCAATATATTTTACAACCCAATTTTGAACTTTAGTCAAAACAGATTAAGGTCTTAAATATTTGCAAAGTAAGAAAAATTCGAAATCCTTCGCGAAACAGACCAAAAAAGGCAGTAGAAAGAAGTATCAATATATTAATATGCACTTAATAGCGAGAAAAAATTTAAGCCAACTTTATTTTGATGTAAGCACGATTTTGAAAAATTTTATAGAATACCTACACCAATTTTAGGTATTTGCAGAAGGAGGGGGGGGGGGGTAAATAAATCAATTTCGAAGATTCAATTAACGAGAGGTTTCTCGTAATAGATTGGAAGGTTAGTAAGTAAGATTTTTTCATATCATAATTATCAATATCACATTAGGAACGCATAATTTATAAAAAACTAAGTATTTACTTATCTTAGCAATTGAATATTCTAGTAGAAATAGATTTTAATTGCTTATATATTGCGCATTAATTTTTTAGCCTTTTAACCAATTCTTTCATTTATTATTTTATTTTATTAATTATTGGTTAAACATAGGAATTTTCATACCGGAATCCAGACCTTGGCTTATATCATTATTTAGCAATTACCTAATTCTGCATTGTCATACAGGATAAATAGCTATAGTAGTACCTCTATGAGCATACCTTGTACCTATGGTGGAAGTTCATACGTCAAACGATATAAATTACAGGCAATCTACCACGGTAGGTCTAAGTTGAACGTTGAGGGCACCAAATTCAATAACATGAAGTTCAGTTTATTATGTGACAGACCCGTTACTCTTCTCATAGTGCGATACTCATAGAACTAGGTGTTTCCTTAATAAAAGTTTAATCATAAAATTTAAATATTTCAATTAGCAAGGTTGACACTATATTAAAAAAAAAACTATATAAATTCAGAATATAACTGTATAATTCAATAGTAAGTTTTTTTGTATAATGATAATTCACAAACATTCCTAATTTACGGTACAATTTAATGTCCGTTATTTAATAGAAAAACCTTAATAGATAATTAATTTATCTAACACCAAACTGGTCAGCAACTTTGACTGCTTACGCGATAATCAACCCAATGTGTACCAAAATAGAATACGTTCTCGTTAACTTACAGTAAATAATTAAATAATATTGTTAAATATAGTTAATATAATATGTCAATGCCGTTATAGTAAAACGTATTTTCATTAGTCGAAGAGCCCACAAGCGCAATGCGGAAGATTTTACAACGAGTACATTATGACTATTGTTATTGCGATGGTCCTCTAACCCAACACTATCCAGCTTATATAATGACTGCGCTATTAACTATAGATTTTATATAGTTGTTATTCCGACTCCCCGAAGGGAGTCCCCGCATATTATGACAAATGAAAGTAGTAATATCTATTTATACTGTTCATTTGCATAAAATTTTAAAACATAATATTACATGGCATACATTTGTTTGTCATAATTATATTTACGCAAATTTCATATTTTTAAGCATAATTTCTATCATCATAATAATGTTTAAGCATAACATTCTAAAGCATAAAATCAATATAGCTTGATTATTTAATATTAATGCAAAAATAAAATAAGCCTAAAGATAATTGTGCCAACATAAAATGTATGCGAATTATAATTTACGAATACTATGGACTATGGACTGTAAAACTAAAAAATGAAATACTATTATGTCAAAAGGGTTTGAGTTAGTATATTAGAAATAACAACGTTATGCAAAAAGGGGATTCCACATCAACACAGTTCTTGATACTTAAAAAAAAACAAGATAAACACTTGATAATTAATTTACTAAAATGCCATTATTAGAAGGTCAATGAAACACCATATAGTGGTAACATTATTAAAATGCAAGCCCAGGTGACGTATCATTGCAATTCCATGTAAAAACAACATAAATAATATTATATAATGACTACATTCCGTCCAAAGATATATTTTATTTAAGTTTTAATTCTCCAACAGTTTGCACAATAAAATACAACAGTAATAAAACAAAAATCATACTTAAAGAAAATCTAAACCTATAATTAATGCATGCACAAAATAACAAACACGTCATGATAAGAGACATAATACAAAATGGTAGTTATTTTGCAATCATTATTATCTCAGTAAATATTAATATATTCGTAGGAATCGACATAACACCCGAAGGCCTATTCTATTTGTCTTCGAATGAAAATTTATTGAAGGTTATCAACGCATCACAACAACGTACGTGTCGTACTAGTATTACGAAAATAAGCGTAATAAATATATTGCGTTTTTGGAAAAATAGAATAGGCCTTCAGGTATAATATTAATTCGTACGAGTAGTATCTCCATCATAACTGTTCTTGATACAAATGAGACTTGTCATTTCATTCCACAATAAGACTCCGGGTCTACTACGCAAATTTTTCTATCCAAGAACTTCACATTAATTTTGACGTTTATCGAAACGTGACGTAACCAGTCAAAGTACATGCGTTAATCTAAGTCGATAAAAAAAGTCAATGGCAACGATGTTCCATTATGCTCCCGCTAGATGGCGCTAATATGTTCGAACATCTATGAAGAACGAAAGTCATAAGTGCATGCCGCGTAATTGTGTTTAATTTTAATTATCGAGGAAAAATGTGATCGTGGGTCGTCAAAACATTTAAGACACGAATTGAGATACAGATCTGCAAATGTAGATGGCAAAGGGATTTCATATGTCAGTTAATTATTCGATCGCGCCGTCTACTTTTAACGTTTTTAATTAATTTGCCATTCCAGATACAGGAATCATCTCCATGCGTCAAACGAAATAAATCACAGGCAATCTACCACGGTAGGTCTAAGTTGAACGTTAAGGGCACCAAATTCAATATCAATTACATGAAGTTCAGTTTATTATGTGGCAGACCCGTTACTCTTCTGCGATACTCATAGAACTAGGTGTTTTCTTAATAACAGTTTAATAATCATAAAATTTACATATTTCAATTTGCAAGGTTGACATCATATTAAAAAAAAAACTATATAATTTCGGAATACAATTGTATAATTCTATAGTAAGTTTTTTTTGTATAATGATAATTCACAAACATTCCTATTTACGGTACAATCTAATGTCCGTTATTTAATAGGAAAACCTTTGCCATTCCAAATACAGGAATCTTCCTCGGTAACTCTGACTAAAACATTAACACTAAATTTGACAGTGACATTTGTATGATGTCAAATCGCGCGGTAAACGAGCTGGTTACAAATTTCTATTTGTTCTCAGTTCTAGGGATTTAACGGGTACAGCCAACCTAAAATGTGATTCGTGATTACGCTACATAAGAGTATGTGTCTAATGTGCCTGGAGCTCTTTCTAGATACTGTTTGTCTATTAATGCCTCTATGCATTTCTTGATCATGGCCACCGAAGGAGCGAAAGAACCTCGAGCTTGTGATACCACCTCTTGTATTAGCTCCGTGTGACGTAATACCTGTTCGATAAGAATTGCAATGTTAACGGTTACGTTTTCACGTGACAACGTGACAGTTTTATTTATATTGTCAATAGACGGCGTTGTATTCTAATTTGTGTAATTCTATTCTTTATCAATAAAAAAATCAATGCTTATAGATTCAGTATAATGCCGCTCGCTTCTTACTCATCCACTATTTTTTTTTTTTGTTAAATTTATTCCATATTTGCTTATTAGAATTTTGCGTGTCTCTGTAAGTCTCTCTCTGATATAGGTAGTCAACATCACATTCATTGCACAAATGCCGAATTAAGTAGATTTTTCTACATTAAGAATGGGGGCACCGTGAAAACTACGTATAAAAAAAAGTTAATGCACACGTTACACGTCTTACTCCTAATCGTCAAGTCACAAAACAGTGTAGGACAGTCTGCAAAATATCTACTGTCTAGACGTACCCGTCGCGTCAGTCGACTATAAGGGCTACATACCTATATAAACTACTAATTTAAATGTATTATTATGGATTAACTTTATTCGAGTTTCTGAATAGGTACCTCTCTTTGTAAATTCGGTATAATTTACAAAAAGAGGTACCTATATAGTATCCAAAATTCATTAAATTATTTAATAAACAATTAAATGAATTTCGGAGGAATGTATGTTTGCATTTCAGATCAACGACTCCAGTTCAATCTATGTACATCAATCACCTTTATCCGAATATCATTGTATAAAGTGGCGATTTTCGTAGATACAAAATAAAATCAACAAATTAGAACTCTAGTGCCCTCTTTTGAAATAAATAAAACCATGACAGTCAATAATAGTAAAACGCAAATAAATAGGAATAATATAGTAACAGATAACATACCTTCCTTTGTTTCATAATGCGCACTAGTGCGGCCTGAAGGTACATTTTACGATCGTCGTCACAATGTGCGGGGGGAGCTTCCTCCCCACCCGCACCCCCACCACCCGTACCTGTACCTACAGAAATATGAAAATAATAAAATTAATATCTTCTTTATTTGAGTAAGTTTGTTGAAAAGTGAATTGGCTAAATTAATTCAGTACATAAACAGAACAGAGCTAATTTTATAAACAAATGTAATGACATTTAATATATTAAATCAAATCTAAAATACTAAAGGCACAACAACACCGTCGTCATCGAGCCGCGATGTAACATTTCTTTAAACATGTACTAGTTGCACTTGCAAAGACATTGACATTTAGTTTATTGAAATGTGACGTCACACGATGCTCTACCTTAACCACCCACGTTACGGTTCTTGTAATGCGCAAGTTAATTTTGTAAAAATAAATTGTTTATTTTAAGTCAAAACACACTTTACAGCTATTGATTAGATCTAAGTTTACCATATCCAACATGTTTCATAATTCGTTGTTATAACAGTCAAGTAGCCAATTTTTTGATAATTTTTGTTTTTTATTTTATAAATAAATAGATCATTATATCCAAAATAATGTAGAAGTAACGGCACGTCTGCGATTATTTGTTTCGGAGATACGGTGTTATGTTTGTGGTACAGCTGCTAGTTCTCTAGAAATTCGAGCCGCAAAGTGACATCAGGCCTTGCTACGGTGACGAGGTCTGCGAAATCTTTGTTATTTTTACATTAATGTTTATAGTTGTTATTATGAAATTTCTACGTTTTATGTAACTAATTTAATGCCATATGTATCTTAGCAAATTATTGTAATCTATTTTTTCCCTACTTTACAAATTCAAGCCAAATTGTTTTGTAATCTATTTTCCTTACTTTTTTCAAGTGTGCAAAGCCAAATATTTTCAACATAAAAATAATCAAATTTATTTTGTTAAATATTAATGAATTACAATGGTTCATATTTTCCGATCATATAACAGAAGCCTGTATTTTCACAGGACACAACCCTCTCTGTATAACCTCCAACTGACCTTGTTCAATGGTTCATATTTTCCGATAATTTAACAGAAGCCTGTATTTTCACAGGACACAACCCTCTCTGTATAACCTCCAACTGACCTTGTTCAATGGTTCATATTTTCCGATCATATAACAGAAGCCTGTATTTTCACAAGACACAACCCTCTCTGTATAACCTCCAACTGACCTTGTTGATTGGGCGCGTTGGCACAGGTGAGTCTAACTTTAGTTCTCTTGCAGGTGAATGCCAGGTTGAGTGTGAGCGTGGCCTCGTCCGCGTCCACGTCCCCCTCCACCGTGAGAAGGCCGGCGTCCACCAGGGGGCGGGCGTGTCGCGACCACGCCTCCCCGGTCAACTGAAGGGATTCCCGCAGCTCCCTCACAGGGGATGAGTCTACGTTCTCGAAGCATAACAGCAGGGCGCACTGTCCATCAAAACACGATAACATCACGATGTCGTCATTCAAAAGTCGGAGAATATATATCTATTTTTATAAAGAGGAGAGATTTGAATGTTTGTTTGTTTGCAATGAATGCGTTCCGAAACTACTGGACCTACATGAAGCTATATATTTTATAGGTTATATTTTATCCCGAAAAACAGCTAATAAAGGGATGGAAGTTTGTATAGGGAATCAAAACGTTACCATAGTAACCATTGATTACTATTTGTTATTACAATTATATCCATCGACATCCAAGTTCCCTAAGGACGCGAATGAAGCTGCTGTCTTTCCGACAGCAGCTTCGTTCGCGTGGCAGCAGCTAATATCTGATAAAATAACTTACTTATGTGACATAGAATTATATGTAATCTTTTACATATATGCAAACTGACAACAATAGACATTACTTATCAGGTAGTTTCGGTATTAAAATTGATATAGATATTCTGATTTTGAATCACAAAACCACATAATTATCTCTTTAAATAAAAATTAAAAAAAACTAGTTTTATGTGTGTATCACGTGACGTCATATCGGCAAAAAGAAATTAGTGGTAAACAGCTGACTATTTATTTTATAACAGATTTTTTTTAACTAATTTTATATATTTTTAGCAAGATAGATGGCACTGTTCTTGTCTGATTGACAACGCTAAATCTAATAAGTGATATACTCTATGCGTCTGTTTTATGTACAGTACGAGAATGAAAAGATTCGCCGAAATCCAAACAGATTTCTTTGAAGTCGCGAACTAAGTCACAAAATATAATGCTATATAGGAAATGATGCTTAACTCTTTAATGATAAGGTTTATTTTTCTTGAAAGTTTTGTCATTGGAACGTTGTTACATTAAAGTTGAAATTGGCTTACAGGGAAAATAATAACATACTGTTTTAGGTTAGATTGATAAGTACAGATTATTGAGTTGTTGCAAGCAAAATTTGACTTTATTGTGAGGAATCTTCTCTTTCTCTTAAGTAAGAGTTGTTTTTTTTTTATTTCTATTAAAAAAGACAAAGTACTATATATTGTATAGTTGCTTGTATTCACTGTTTATTGGTAAGGTCTCAAATCCTAACAAGTACTCACCTGTGGTGTGGTAGCGCTGATATGGTATAATCTGTGTGTGTATCTGGTCCTCAGTTCACCAGTACACAAGTGATGAAGCCAGGCGAGTCGTCGACCGCTGAACGCGGCGCGGTAGAACGCTTCGAATAATCGCGCGGGACGTTCCAACGCCGCCGGGGGGGCCAAAGGGGCCATAGCCCCACCTAGTGGCCACGCCCCCGCTTGCAATACCTATGGGGGAAATCAAGAGGCTAATTCAAAATCTATCTCATTCCTTGCCAATATTGTAGCGATTTATAGAATTATGTAACATTTAAAATAGCAATCGCTTTTGGACCGAATGATGATTTGAATTAACAAGAAACATATAATAGCTTATATTTGCATTTAACGCTTGCTTTAGATTCAAATTCAAATTAACGATATCGTTAATCTACATCTTTCAAGGAAACGTCGCGGTCGCAGTCGCTATCATATTTCAAATAGTTGTAGCGTCAATTTCCTGAATATCTTTCAAATGTCAAATGGATAAAGATCGCGATAGATTTAAAATTAGAGAATTAGACCCCAGGTATATAGACTACTTTATTGCAAAAGTTTAGTAAAAAATTACAAAAAAAAAAACTAGAAGACTTTTTAAGCTCCATAGTTCAAATATCTTAATATACTAGGACATCTACTACTTAGTAGAATCTACTTATGAATTCATAAACAATATGTCATAATAATAATAATTTAATATAATAGATGGCGTTATGTAAAATTAGAATCAGACTAACATTTGTTTTTTATAATTGTTATTGCTAATACGAACTCTTTAGATCAGCTGGTGTTTTATTTTTAAATTACTAGTCGCTTCAGTACCAAAATAAACAGAGTGACCCTATCCAAAAAAGAAAACGATCGGGTTAGCTACCAACTTCACGGCTTAGCTGTAATTTTAGTACTGATAGCAAATTAAATATTCGCTAATTTTTTTTTGGATTCATTCAACTTTGTCATATATTTTCTTTTTTTCTTTTTTTTTTATTACTAAATATAAAGTTGACTGAAAATGATTTTTCCGCAACTTTAACGTTGGCTATCGTAAACATAGTCATAAAAGGGCTATCATTAATGATTTCTGGCTCAATTACAAATATCTGTGTGCTGTAATCTGCTATATCATACTACGATAATGCGTGTATTTATAAAAAAAAAATATTTTAATTCCTTTTTTGCACACCTTACACCCTGAAATTGATGCTCAATGTGAGCCAAGATGGCTGTTTGACAGTACTATTCTTATTTGGCTCGCAAAGTTGCCGGACGATTGCTGATATTGATAGTTGAAGTTGTATTTACAACACAATTGCATAATTAGTACAATATTTTGTTGATAAAGAAATAGATATAGCATATTCTTATGTAAATGGTCGCCTTTTATTCTCTTATATTAATGTACCAACCTGTATGAAGAACCCTGTATTGGTCTGCAAATTGTTATCCCTCAGATGTTGTTGAAACTTAGCGTTGAGATCAGCGGACACGGCCACGTCCGTGAACATTCTATGAAGTTTATTCGTGAATTCGTATCCGCATGCTGCCTTCAAGCGGTTTATCATAGCCTCCTCCTGTTATGGCGAAGAATATTCATAAGGTTACATATTTACTATACAGGGTAATTTAACCAACACCACACATTTTGTTTCTAAGGATTAGTATCGTTAATAAAAACGTATTGTAGAAAAAAGCATAGTTGGAAATTTTAAAATATTTAATTACTTTTAATTTTTTTATTTATGGTGCATACAATTCATCTACAACAATCCTTTGATGTAAGAATTTTAATGCAAAAAAAAACAAAATATGCGTCTTTAGTTGATTCATGTTATTATAATTATTGTATTTGAATGGATTAGACAATTGAAAAGTAATAATTTTGATGAAAGAATCATGTCTAATTTTATCCTAAAATTTTTAAACGCGTCTAGTGTTGTGATATATGTAGCTTATTTTTTACTTATTTCATATCAGGTAATTAAATCTTGAAATGAAGACAGGATAAAAATTGCGAGGCTTATAATTATTTTTAAATAGGACAATGATATCCCGAATGTGATTCGGACCCTATGACGGTTTGCTAGGTTTCGTTTCATCGAAAAAATATTCTTCCATCTTATGGTAAAAAAGTGCACATTAACAATTACATTTAGATTTATTTCCATATTTACGGATAAAACTTTAAAAAGCTTTAATTTTAATGCATTTATTTCTATAGTAGCTTCAAAATTATCTCGAGTGTTGACAGCTGTTATAACCTCAAAATTATTTACAAATTACGAATCTCACTGACCTCCAGATGAAAAGATGCTAAGATAATATTCTACTCTAAGCAAAAACTGATTTTACTTATCATTAATGGTGGATAGACGCGACCTTTAAAAAAACATGAGATAGGTCAAACAATGTATGGAAAGTGAACATGATTCTTTTGTTAATTTTCGAGAGTTAATATCTTAATAATATACAATACCAATGACATCACTAAATATGATGTTTTAAATATATATAAGTTAAACTTTTTACAAATCAACTCAAACATATGATTGTATTATAACTATGTAATTTTTATAGACTGATATATCAATTAATGCGTTTCCTATGCATCACCTGTTCCATAGAGGCTGACAGCTGATGTATCAGCCGCCTCGCCAGGGCACGCGCATAATACTTCTGGAACACGTCCTTATCGTCGACGTACTTGAACACGAGTATGGCGGCTGCCAGTTTGTCGTCCGCGTCCGCTTCAGCAGCCCCCCCTCCCGCGCCGCCGGCCCCGCCCCCGCCACCACCACCTCCCCTCCGTCTCAGTAAGCAGTCGCAGTACCGAGCTAATAGCTCAGGAGCACGAGCCGGTTGCTCACCGGACGGACGACTATTCACTACGGCACTACATGCCTTAGGTAAAAGTAATAATTAATTTAACGATAAGAAAAAAGGTTTGGGAAAATTTCTTAACCTAACATGAATCTGATTGAACATGAATTCATCTTTAACTCCGAAAATACTACAATAATTTGTATTTTTATTAATAATAACTTTCCTATAATTTGTATATAGCAATTCAGTCCAAAATTGATTGCTGTCTTTCAATTAAATCGAAAAGATAAAGTAACACTGATATGAGCAGAATATGACAGTTTGAATCTCGAATGGTTGCTTAAATTCATCATCAACCTATAAATACCCCCGTTGCTGGGGCACAGACATTTCTATGAAGGGAATCGAATAGTCAGTACTAGGGTTACTAGATCACTCGACCTAATAGCTGGACAGGCCTGCTTTTGTCCGGACATTTCGGTAAATAGGCTGGGCACCTTAAATAGTCGAGGATTTTGTGTCTTAATATAAGTGTAAAAACCTAGTCTTTCTAATTATTTATCATAAATGTTCTTAAATTCTAATGAAATATAAATAAAATCGAATGCAAAATAAGTCTAAGTATTTTCTATCCAGGACTTTCGAAATTAATATGATTCAATAACCCGGACACCGATTATTTTGGCCGGACACGCGATCAAATCTGACTATATCCGGCTTTATCCGGATGCCTGGCATGCCTAATTAGAACGGATAACCCACCACGCTGACGCTGTGTGGACTGCAGGTGCAGCCGGGACCAACAGTTTCAAGTACCTTCCGTAGCACGGAACAGAAATAATATATTATTTGTCAAAGTAGTGGTTATACGCCTTTTAATTTAACTATGTCAGTCAATATAAGTATCAATACCTTATCTAGAGCGCCCATAAAAGCTTGAGCACCGTTGAATACATCAGTGAACAGCTTACTATATTTGCCGTGTAGAGATAACATCGCGTGGACGAAGTGAGTATGCGCCTAAATAACGGACAGAATGAAAAAGAATTAATATTAACAAATAGCAAGTCAATTTTAACGTTAACTCTATAGCTAGGGAGTCCGATGAGCTAAATCTGCAAACTCCAAGCTATAGCTAGGGAGTTCGAGAGTTTAATCTACAGTCATAGATGAAGAGAACTTAATACGGTTCATCGATGTACCAGATACAGATACATTTCGTCAAATGTCTGATGAATGAATGAATGATTCAAGATACGCGTCAATACGGATGATGACTGGATAAAAAAAGAAATTATATTTAGTCCGTTAATCAGATAATAAAAAACATTTTTGCTTCGATTTAAACAAGAAATGGCTTAGTTAATAAGCATTTAAGTTGAGGAGTGGGAGCTCGCTACATCACAACGTAGAAAATATACAAAGGTGTGACGTCGATGACATTTCAACTCGTATTGCAGTAATTTATGATTACGCAAAAAAATAAAAATACGTGTTTAATATTCTTCAATATTATACCCGACGCACAGACAAACAAAAATCAGTCGACAGAGAAGAATTTTAGAATTCAGTGTATGAAAACTATCTAATGACTAAACTAATAAAACCTCAAATGTACGCATCGAATAATCAGAATTCTAATGTCACCAACCATGAACTTCTAGTACACATGTAAATGAAATACTTATCGAATGTACCATGGAAGAGCGGATTATTTCTAGAAAGTATAATACTGTATCTAAAAAATTAGTTCCTTAATCCTCTGGTTTTGAAACAAAATATTGATTTATATATATATTCTTTGGACCATCTAATCCAGCTTTTATAAATATGCAATTGTGGACGGAAGAAAACCTAAAGATAGTACGTTGCAATATATATATATTTTTTTTTTATTAAAACAAAAATAGATGATATGAGACTTATCGAAATTAAATATAATTACTTTTAAATGGTTTTATTGCGTGTATTTTTGAAAAATTAATTAATATCAGACTTTTTGGATCTCTCCCATAAACATCTATTAACTAGACTAAGATATTGGACTAGATCTTAGTCTATCTAAGAGACGAGTTTATTTAGTTTAATTAAATGCGTAGTGCGCGTGAAAATATAAGAAATTTATCGAAAATTGTTTATTTAAGAATAGAAACCCCCAGTTTTGAGTATAAATTATATCGGTATAATAATAATAGATACATTATATTTAAAAAAATCGTTACATGTCACTTAGATAATTAAACATATTTTTGATACAACAATGTTAAATATAGTATCTGTAGCCGAACTAGATCTAAGTCTTCATGTTGGCGTACAGCTGCATTACCCTAAGGACAACATTAATTAAGTATCTAATTGACAAAGGTGATTCTAATAACAATAAATAGATATTCAACTAATGTAATCTAGTAGTTGTATATAAATGAAAGAATTAGTAATCCTTGGTGTGATAGTGTGTATAAGAGGGTGGATACAATAAGATAATATAATAACAGTTTAGATATACCGAACTAATTAGAATGACATTTTTTACCGGATTGCAACTTTGTACCTTGTTTTTATTGAGCACTGTATAACTGAGTTACTCTGTGATCATGGCGTTATCATATATCTATACAAATATATACATTGGAGTTACCTGTTTGTAATATTAAATAACCACATGTGTACATTTTAGATATACAAAAATATAATTTTTCACATTTTTATCTGTTTGTTTCGGCTAATCTCTGAAATGGCTGAATCGATTTTGACGGGACTTTCACTGGCAGATATCTTATGTAATAAGGGGTAACTTAGGCTATTTTCCACAAGTATATCTGGATATACCTACCTACTTGGATAAAATACCTAAATGGTCCATTAGAAATTAGCAGTTTCTTGATGTTGTATCTCGTTTATTGTTGATGTGTTCTGATTGTCCACTAATGGGTTGTATAGTATTATTAATTGTAACCATAATAAACAATTAATTTGGGGAGAGGCCTGGTGACTTGGTCTCCCACGAATGACTCTTAATAGGATATATCTTATTATATATCTTTTATAATGTTATTTGTGGTGGAAATAAATATTATTATTATGTAAATAAGTAACTCACCTCGTCCCTGTTATGTGGCGCGAGTAGCAACGCTCGTCCGTCTCTCGTCGCTTGAGCGAGCGCAGCGTCGACGAGCGGCCGCAACGCCGCCGCGCCCAGCGGACGAACTAGCGCGTACATGCGACGTAAGTCGCAACGACGCTACACACACAACGTGTATTCGATTTTCGAATTGTTTGCCCGGTGATATCAGGCGCTCGCAGTCGCTCAACTCTTTTAGATCTAGGGTAAAAACGCATTTTCTGTCTGGTGAGCATAAACCTTTATCCTTGCCTTCCTCCTTATAGCTAGCGGTATCTTCTGTTCATGTTGTCTACTTCGTATCGTACCCATATATATTTATATTGTTATTTTATATATATAAATATAAGTTTAAGTTAATATTTTACTAACTTTGTGCACGACTTACAATGAGCTGCCACTAGTATAAATCAATAGGTTGCCTGGAAGAAATCGCTGTTCAGCGATAAGGCCGCCTATTGCACAATTGTATTTTTTTTTGTAAGCATAAGAAATTAACGATAGATGTACAATAGGAGTCCATATCTTCTATGCAACCTATTTATTGATTAGCTTATGCTGACAGATAAATTGTGCATCTGAATTTCCTTAGATAAAATTTCTTAATTTAATTAATAAATATTAAAAATAAATCAAATATTTATATATTAAATATTAAACAAAAAATATCTATATGAAGATACTACAAGCTTTTATGAGTAGGGCAAGGATATAAGGTGTTAAGAATTACGCTAACTGGACAGATTTTCTGTCAGTCGCACTGTCGCTTTTACCCTAGTTTTAAAAGAGCTTAGCGACTATGATCGTCCGATATTGTATACCAAATAAGTCAGATATTTTATTCCACAATCGAGTCACATGTAAGGTAAGCGAATGGCTGTAGAACTTGGTCCGGTTTTGAGGGACCAATAGGCAAAGATAGTCTCTTTTGAATGAAACTTAGTGCTACTGGTACAACATGGGGTCATAATTAGCTATGTACAATGAGATGCCACTGATACCTACACGCGTCGAAGGTAAAATTTCGAGACGCGACTTTCTTAGTATTTAATGTACAAAGAAAGAAGAATATCAATTATTAAAAATACAAACTTATTCTCAGGCATATTATTCTGTTATTGGCGAAATAAAAGTATAATAGCACCTAACCTGTTCCACATTAGGTCCTGTGTCGCACGCTTCCTTCAATAACCTCTCTGTGTGGGCGTGTAATGCTGGTAAGTGAGCACTAACAGCTGCGCGTTCATAACAACTACGGACAGATTCCGCCGAGGAACTGTGCAGGAAACGATTACCGAGAGCGATTTCACGCTCCAGACCTATGTAAACAAAGGAAAATATTCCTCATTTAAAATTATTTCGATTTAGAGTTAAAACTATTAAATAAAAATTGACGAAAATTCTATTCAAATCGGTAAAACAATATTTCTATCTTATAGTTTTTCACTCTTAAAAGCAAATACAACTGTCTAGAGTATTTATTAGATATATTTTTAGTAGTAAAATAATAGTCCTAATATTGATCCCTAGGGCACGGTAATAGTGAAGGGTGCTACTATAGACTCCTCGCATTAATTACTACTTTTTAAATTATATCAGGAAGTCCTTTCTGACTTAATGGAACTTATTTTATTTATTTGTTTTGTAGCATTTTACGTTTAACAAAGTCAAATGCTATTGATGGATCACAAAAAAAATGTAAAATGCATGCTGCTCACTTTATAAAAATCATCAATGTATATACATAATATCGGACTTTCTAATATCTAGAATCACATAAAAGAAACTTACAATATTTCTCGTTAATACAGTGAACTAAAAGACAACCATTATATCTATTACACACATGCTACTTAAATTATGCGCTAAGGCTATATTCGTCAAGCATCGGCAATCCTGATGTATTTTAAAGATATAGAGTTGTTATTACATGATTAATCATTTCGCTTAAATTTAGGTCAGCCAATTTAAAAATAAAAGTATATTGTGTTTCTTGAACTTTATTAAAATATCCATTTTCAGACTTTTTAAAAACATTAGCTTCTGTTAAAAAGTACAGGTACACGTTGTATATTATTTCACGGGACTGACCGCTTATAGGTTTTTATTTTTTTGAAAAGGTATCCATTACACAATACCTTGAAAATTATGTAGGAATAAATTAAGTACCTATATTCAGTAAACAGTAGAGGTACTGGCGAGTTTTGGCGGCTAAAACGACGATCACACATTGGTTTCTTGATCGGTTAAATTCGTAAAAACGAAATATACCGAAGCGCATAATTTAAATAGTATTTTCCTCGGCTCCGTGTGTACTTACCATCGAGCACATGTCTCATATAGTGTGATATATCGCCATCAGACAGTAGTTCAGCTGCTTGACGAGCGTGATGTTCACCGGCGGCCGCCAAGTACGGCTCTAGAACCAGAGACTGATACAAGGCCAGCGGCTGACGGACGCGAAATGACTGCACCTGACATATAATTTCATTTATTTGTTTAATAACATGATTGAAATTAAAATTATGATTATATTTTTAATTTAATATTTATAAATATTTTCAATAGTAATCAAACTGTAGGTAGATTGACAAAAAACGGTCATCGACCGCCTACTACTTATGATATATTTAACTAGCAATCTATTTTAAATAATTTTATTTATATCCGATACTAGGTTCCCGTCAGCTACCTCGCCCGCGTCGTCACGCGCAACTATTTAGTGGGATAAAAAGTATCTTATTATCTAAGTCAGCTAATACCCTATCAGTATACCAAATTTCATCAAAATCCGTTCAGACAAACATCCAAACAAAGAAACTCACATTTATAATAAGTAGGATAAGCAGATTAAAAAAACGACCAAGCGCTAGTCGGACTCGCGCACGAAGGATTCCGTACTGGAAACGAGCAGAAAGATCTGTCTAACATTCACGTTTCATAAGATACAGCCTGGTGACAGACAGACAGCGGAGTCTTAGTAATAGGATTCCTGTTTTACCTCTCATTACTGATATCACTTGGAGTTGGCGCGATGGAAATACGAATGTTATAAACAGTTTTATATATATTATATGTATTGAAAAATTCAACCTGTCTATTTATAAATACATACGTGCACGGTACTGTGTATCGCCTGTCGTAGTAAGTCTGCGTTAGCTGGATCAGGGTCTGTATGTCTCGCGGCCGCTAATCCCGACACTAGTCGTCCAGATAGAGCGCCCCACAGTGGACGGATCAACACGCGTTCCCATATCACTAGACCCAGCTCACCCACCTGGACGTACCGAATTAATGGCTGGTTTTTTACACGTAGTCAAGTAGATATTCAGTAAGTAGATTCTAATTTTAAATTCAATACGGGTGTACAGTAAACGATTTTTTTCTGGTAGTGTTTAATATACTATGATTATTATTTTATATTTATAATATTGCTTAAATTATTTATGAAAAACATGTATTTTATAATCGTTGTAACGTGACCGCAAACAGCGCGTGAAGTCTCGCCCAAGAGGGGCTGATATTATAACTTTGAGAATTACCTTATATATAATAAAACGATATTAGTTTCAGAGGGCCGTGACGTCATAGCGAAATAACTTTTGTTAGCTGGTTTAACGGTCGGTGGCACAAACATCCATTACGGTTTAACGACGCCTTTAAGCACTAATGAATGTCAAATTTGTATGGGTAATGTCACTTTAAACTAATGAAAAATTTAATGGACATTATTTAATGGTTGAACAAACTCAACTGACTGTATATGAATTAAGTGATTACACAGTGAACTAAATTGTCAACTTAACTTTAAGTGATTATTGTGTGTTAATACGTTATCAACTTTAAAAGTATAAACCAGTCGATCATACAGACCAGACTGAGTAGTCTAAGTTTTTTATTTTCGATGTGGTTTCACCTGTGCCCGAGCGAGAGGGCGTCATTGTGGCCGGTCGACTGTACTTGCGCGAAAAAACAAGCAAACAGACCCGATCGGCTCCTCTTTATTATTTCATATTAAGAGCGTTAGGTTATCTTTCAAATATTGGTGGTTGGTGGCAAGCAAGGCGATCAATGTCATTGTGACATAATATGTCAATTTATGTCTATGGCAGTAAAATTTATTACAATTACTATTATCAATATTAGCTTTTATTAACAATAATACTTACTTCAAGTTGCCTAGAATCATGTTCGGGACAGCTAACTGTTGCCGCTGAACCGTATATGATCTCTGCGTCCGATACCTGAATGTTGTTTAAAAAATTAGTTATATATAGTTTTTTTTATTGCTTTAAGTTAAGTTTTTTTTTTATTGCGCCTAATGTCGGTTAATCAGAATTTGAATCATTCTACTCTATCGGTTGCCGTTTTACAAGGATCGCATTCTTTTTTTAATCATGACAAGCTTCGATTCGTTTAAAATATCGCTGTATTTGACATACAGAGGTCTAAAATATCAATAATTAATAGCAAATAAAAATAATGATTCCATATTGTCCAAATAGATTAATAGATTAACGTAACTTCGGGATAGGGTTGCCATAGATTATCTTAATGTACTCATGTGTTGCTACATAAATTATAAAATATCCACCAAATGATGTTCAAATCAGAAAATAAACATTTCGGCGGGGCCTAAAAATAAAATAAAATGATCATGTGTAAGGTTTATTTACCCTCTATCGATTAATAGGTACTTTATGCTTGGTTAGAGATAATTTGAATAAAGTCCCAGCCTCTATACAAAAAACAAGATCTCCTTTATGTCAATATATTTCTGTACCTGTCATCTTTCAAGAAAATAGAACAAAAACGATTTACCTTTTGCCTCTTGACATGTTGTAGATTGAGATACGAATAGAGGCTGTTCAGATACGCCACACCTTGACTATATTCACCCCATGCAGACACGTATCTAAGATACAAAATGAGTCAATTAGATTTCCCCCCGCTACCAACCAAACAAAAATAAGATCGCAAAAACGGATATTAATATATTTTTACAAAAATATAAATATATTTTTGTTATATTAATAAGTAAAAACCTACATGTTCATGAACATGGTTTTGTAATCAAGAACACGAACCAATACACCAAGATGGTTTTCAATTAGTGTTCAAATATTTGGTAAAAATGTTGTACTTGTACACTACTCCGTATATGCGCTGTCTTACAACATAATATATGGTCTTCTATTTTTGAATGGCTACCATGTTGGCGCATGGCTTGGGTCAGAAACAAAACTCGGTTATTTTATTGAATATATTTTGATTATTAATTATTGACATTGTAAAATGACATTTACAACCCGATAACATGATATTCTAACAGATAAATTTTTATTCCGATAGTTATTTCCGCAGTTTTAATACGCACTGCGGCATAGTAACGCGTCCAGACGCTGGCGCCGTCGCAAAGAAACTAAAATAAAATAAGACCTCACTTTAAAGTGAGGCGTTATTTCTTCGGCCTTTTTAGAGACTGAACGGGCATCTAGTTGTATTGTTGATCGAACACAATAATCAAAAAACAAGTAAACCCCACCGTAGCCCCACCATACCGGATGGATATTCAGCCAACTTTTAGCCGATGCTACAAGGTTGACCGAATATCCGGTATCCGACCAAACAGTTAGTTATCCATTTAATGTCTAGTTAGAATCCTTATCCTTCGTTCTTATATTATACTAGCAAAACATTATGTCTGCTATACACATTAGCCAAATATCAAAGACATTGCGTACACACATATGAATGTCTTCAGTTTCCTTCGGTCAAATCTAACCCACCACAATGTTGGCTAATGTGTAGAGCGGGCATTATAAGTACAATAAATAGAGTATTACCTAGCCAATAGGCCGTCAGTATGATCGTTGCTCTCTAGAGGAGTGTTTCCACGCACGCGCTGCAGCAATCCTGCCACATGTTCTTCGAGGAAGATCCTGAAAATATTTTAGACTAATTATTAATATTTTTAAGAGTACCTCGGTGACGAAGTGGATGAGCGCCATGGCTCGCGATTGTTGTTCTTAAGCAACCTTCGTAAGGGTAGTTCACAGAATGCGTGACAATTTTTTTTTTCTCGGGCTACTCCGTGCTTCGGATGGCACGTTAACCCATTGGTCCCGGCTACATTTGCAGTCGTTGATACCCTCCAATCCGCATTGGGCCAGCGTGGAGGGTCAGGGCTAGTGTTGCCAGGTCCAATTTATTATTAATCGGGACAGCGCGTGTAATTAATCGGGACAGCGCGTGTAATTAATCGGGATTTGGGGTTGTAAATCGGGACAGACGAAGAAACAAGTATTAGTACTAGTTTGGTAGCTTTTTTGCTTTCAGACATAGACAAATACAGTTAGGGGCTTTCAAAAATGGATTTGACAGTATGAAAAAAAAAAATTTTTTTATAAAAATACTTGATTTTTCGGGACATTTAGCGTCCCGATTAGGTACAAATCGGGACGCGTCCCGGAACCCTGAAAATCGGGACGTCCCGCGTAAATCGGGACACCTGGCAACACTAGTCAGGGCCCACGATGATGATTAATATTTTAGACTATTTAGACTTTGACTGGCTTTGACTGTGTGGACTACGAAATTTTGGTAATTAATAAGATAATTCATTAATTCAAATACTTTAGTCCAATGCGAGTTCAATTCAGCAAACCTTTTATATAAATACACTTACTTTAATTTCCTTGAAATCGGATTGCCACAAAGAGCACTCAACCTTCAATACTATATTGTTAGTGTGTATGTTTAATGCATTGGGTTGAATCAAATATACTCCTCTGCGCTCTTGGTTGGAGTTGGGTTGGCTACAACCCAATACAAGTTTTCATATATACACACGGTTACACGTCAAGTTACCACTATATCTTACATTCCTGCAATGGATTTTTACCTCTAACCTCAATATTTTAAGGTTTAAATTTGTGCAGTCTAACATGCATTTCACTGTACAACAGTCTGATAAAGGCGTCTAAGTCCGGAAAGTTGGAATTACCATACCTAATCTAAGGTCTATATATTACTTATTAAAGCGTTCATTGCATTTTTATTCAACCTGATATAAAGAAAATAAGGAAGTTTAGGTACACGGTAGACCCGCTGATCTATGATATAGACTTACCTGGTCTCGTCGTAAAGGCGGTCAGCTAGCGGCTCCGGGTGCGCTACACAAAGCGCGTACACATCAGAGAAACGAGTGTTCCAAACTGCGCGCTCTACCGCTCTTAATCCAACAACACCTGCCACCTGTATAAAATGACAAAGAAAATTATATGCTATGGATGGACTGGAAATCAAACATTTACAATTAGCTCTAAAATGAACAAAAGCTACTTGTATGTACTGTTTATCAATGACTAGCTATTTTCGCACGGTTTCGCGTGCGTTAATTATATGTTAATGTCAATCTCATAGGATGCATAGGTGAAAATATTTTCAATATCTATTAATTGCAAACAAACCAACAAACAATCAAATCTTTTCTCTTTATAATATTAGTATAGATGAATAAATGAACAACATATTTTACTTTAACTTATATTATAAAGAGAAAATATTTGATTGATTGATTGCATAGAATATTTCAAAAATCCTTCACCAATGGGAAACTACATTATATACATACTATGAAGTCGCTGGAAAACAGCTAGTGACCAATATATTTGTGAATTCATAACACATACTTTGCACAAGCCCACAATATGATAAACGTTGCTTTATACATATTATACAGGGTTATTAGTAATACACCAGCTACCTCGCAGAACTAGATAGCTATCATCATAAATAACAACACTTTAAATGACTTCTTGCTTTTATATGATAATAAAATTTTAATTAAATTTACTGCTTGAATCTTTTGCTAACCAAATCATAAGATCAAGAAATGTGCTGACATAGCTTTAAAATTAGGTCTATTCAACGCAGGTTCCCTAAACACTGGTCACGATGATTTTGTGGCAGCTAAGACACGTTCTGACGCCGATATTGTTGCGATTAACGAGACTTGGTTACAAGAGGGACAGGAAGCGCGCGCCCCAACGGTGGCTAGCTACGGACTGAGAAACACTCCACGTCCGCTGCACATGCGGTCCGGCAGGGGAGTTGCATTTTATATCAAGACCGGTATTCGTGTTCGATATGTAAAGCATTCTGATGATAATGTTGAGCAAATGTGGCTCACCACTAAGATAAATGGATCTACTTTTGCGATAGGTACCGCCTACAGGCCCTAATGGGTGAATGTAGATGTTTTTCTGGAGTCACTGACTAGGGATGTGACTTATTTCGGCCAGAACGACTTCGTTGTCCTTATGGGAGATTTCAATATAAATATGTTGAACCAAACTGCGCGTGAAACGTTGAAGTTAAAACAGTTCCTCAATTATATGGACCTCGAGCAGGTTGTATCCGAGCCTACTCACTTCACGGATGTATCACAGACATTGATCGATTTGATTTGCACTGATTGTCGTATTCAAAGCTTGGATGTTTCCCATATATCGGGCCCAGTGGGTCACTGTATGATTAATGCTACCTTTTCAGTAAAAAAAACCCAAAACCGAAACACGTGTTATTTCTTGCAGGCCAATTAAACAGATAAATCTTAATGATTTCAATGCAGATCTGTACTCGATGGATTGGAGATAGTTGGAGGCTCTTCATACGGTGGATGATATGGTGCTTTGTTTCCAACAGATACTGTTATTTTTATTTGATAAGCACGCCCCTTATATATCATTAAGATCCGGCCCGGAAATTTTTTGCCATGGTTAACAGACAATATAAAATGTATGATGGATTTGCGTAATAGTGCCCTCAAGAAATACCGATTAACTAAGTGTGATGAGGATAAATTGGCATGGAAGAATTTGAAGAGACTGGTGGAAGTAAGTTTAACGACAGAAAAGCGTGCTTACTTTGAATATTTCGTGAATACTCAGGCTTGTAATAGTAAGACTTTCTGGAAACAAGTAAGAGAAAAGATTTCTGCTGACCCCTGCCATAATCATAGTCTTCCTGGCTCTTTCCGTGATCCGAATGCAATCAATTCCCACTTTTTGGATTTCTTAGGTAACAGCGACGTGTCTTCGTCTTATATTCGTACTTTCGGGTCCTCTCGTTACAACGGATCAGTATTTGGTTTGAGTCCGGTGATCGAAGGTGAGGTGACAAAGCTCATTCTCTCCTGCAAGTCTAATGCTTGTGGTGTCGATGGTTTCAGTAGAGACATGATTCTTTTACCCTTGCCATGCACTCTAAGTGTCATAACAGCCATCATTAATCTGTCTCTTACTTCTGGCACCTTTCCTACCGGATGGAAGCATGCCTTGGTGACGCCGATTCCTAAAGATGCTCATCCGTCGGGGCTAGGGGACCTGAGGCCAATTAGCATTCTGTCATTCCTGTCGAAAATCTTAGAAAAAGCGGTGTACTCTCAGTTATACAAATTTCTCGAAAGTAATGGAATTCTTCCTGCATTGAAGTCGGGTTTTCGTAGGAATCATGGTACGTCTCTGATTGACGTGGTTGATGATATCCTGTCTCAACAGGATGCTGGTCTTGGCAACGTTCTCACGTTGCTCGATTACTCTCGTGCCTTTGACAGTATAAATCTGGACCTTCTCTGACCAAGCTTGAGTACTATGGTTTGGATAGCCTTTCGGTGAGATGGTTCGGAAGCTACCTATTTCAGCGTTACCAATCAATTAAACTCGACGGACTTCCTAGCAGCTGTTCTTCACGGATATCAAACCCTAGGGAAATTAGGCGAGGTGTTCCTCAGGGCTCAATTCTTGGGCCTTTGCTATTTATAATCTATACAGCGGATATGGTTGAAGTGATCAAGTACTGTAACTATCATTGCTACGCAGACGACGTGCAATTGTATATATATATATATATATATATATATATATTATAGATATATACACATCCACACTCGATCCGGGAGGCTATTTTGAAGTTAAACGAGGACTTACAGAGGATTGCAAAATGGTCAGATGACAATGGGCTCCTTCTAAACCCATCAAAGTCTAAATTCATGGTGGTCGGGTCTGACTCACAGGTTACTAGTATCATCCGCTCCGGTCCTTCTGTGTCTCTTGGAAATCAAAGTGTACAAATGGTCCAGGAATCGCAGAACCTCGGGGTGCTCTTTGATTCCCGACTGCACTTTGAAGCCCACGTTTTAAGTGTGGGCAAGAGTTGCATGTACCGATTAAGGGTGCTCTACAGGGTTCGCAACTTCCTCAGCGAGAGGGCTCGTGTAACACTTTGTGAATCAATAATTCTCTCGATGTTCAACTACGCTGATGTAGTGATCGGCCCTCGTCTACTTTCCAGGACTCGTCAACTAATTCAACAAGGTCAAAATGCCTGTTGTAGATTTTGTTTCCACGTGCCTCCACGTACTCATATTGCACCATTTTTAGACAAGGCTGCCATTCTTCGTATGGAATCCCCTAGGCAATTACACCTGGCATGTCTTGTGTATAAAGTCATCAAATATCGCCGACTCAAATACCTGTACGACAAATTATTATTTTCCATGACGCAGCACGGTATTAGATCTGTTCGACCCGTACTTGCGTATTATCATCATCGCACTGTGGCTTTCAGAGGTAGTTTTCGATTTCAGGCAAACAAGTGCTGGAATGATCTGCCACCCCCGTTGAGAAACCTCACTTCAATAAATACTTTTAAAAAAAAATTAAAAACCTTTTTACTCAATCTTCAGATTATATGTTTAGCGAGGTGACTGAAAGATTGATTTTTCCTGAAAGCTAACATTATTATATTCAACTTATATTTTTGACATTGACACAATTGACATTCTAAATTTATTCCATCATATTATACTGTCATGTATATATTTAAATCTATTTAATATTAATTTGTTACTAACTTGATCTCTGTGTTATCTAATTTATCATTATTTATCTTACATTAAATTAATAATATTTCCATCTTTTATTTTGGACATTTTTGAATTCTTCTTATTAAAATAACATTGACAATAATCTGCCCCACTCATTCTGGACTGGGTGACTGCTGAAAATCGGTGCTTCACCCATTCTTGGGTGATTTACGTGCACCAAGCCTTGACCCTTATCTTACTGCTGCACAGAGGTATATCACTTATATCATTACGTGTTCTGTTCTCAAATGTTATTTGTATTGTACAAGTTGTGATGTAGTTGTGTTGTTATATGAATAAACTATTTATCTATCTATCTATCTATCTAGCGCCTTTACTAATAACCCTGTATGCTGATAGAATATAATAAATAAATTTATATAATTATAGCCAAGGACTTACAGTTTCCTTAAGATTGGCCCACGTCTCCTGAAAGTCAACGTTTCTTGGCTTTAAAGACATCATCAGAGTAATATTTTATGTACCTGCAATAAAAAAAATATTTATTTGACTAATTTTGGATTATTTTATGTTATTTATATACACATTTGATTACTAAAATATGTAATTATAGACAACCTCCTTGGCCAATTGGTTTGCTTGCCAGTTTTAGGGTGTCGTCATCTCTAAGGTTTGATTTGTAGTCAGGTCAATGTAGCAAATTAACTCTTCTGAATTGTCTGAGTGTTTTGGTACTACCGTTGTTGTGATTTCCTTGATACAAGTGCTAAAAACTACTTAATTTGGAATCTGAGCAATGTATTAATATAGTGCAATATTTATTAATTACACTCTACCTAATAATAAATATTGATATTTGATTAATTTTGCATTCACAATGCTATACTGAAATATATTCTTAATACAAAATGCTTAAAAAATCTAAAGCGAAAAGTAACAAGTGTTTGAAAGATTCATCAGTCCTGTTAAGTCCTGGGTAGCTCAGCAGTAAGTTCAATTCCCATCTCAGAGTGCCAGGGACTAAGTGGATTTTTTAAGCATTAGTATTAAGAATAAATATTGATGCTTAAAAGCAAACATGTATTGATTTACAAAAACAAAATTGATCTTCAGACAAGTTTTTAATTTTAGCAATAAACCTTTTCTATAAGTTGGCCAAAGATAAATAAACAAAGTTTTGTTAGCCATGAATGTTTTTATATTATTGAAATTCTTATAGTCATTCAAACATATACAGTTGCTTGTAGGTTAATGTGTTATGCTATTAGTTATGCTCACACTTTTGTTCCTGATCAAAATTTTGATTCCACAAAATTACTTTTAATAAAATTAGTTTCTGTTACAGCAAAGTTGGAGGTTTCTTAGAATTGTATTTTAAGTTATACCAACTTTCGACAACTGGAAACTTTTGTTGATTTCATTTTGGCTTTATTGTTTAATAAATTAAACTATTTTGTTTTACAGATTCTACAACAAAGAACACTAACTATCTGACAGGTTAACCAAATATTTTGCCAGTCATCACTGTTCAAGAAATAGGGCCAAAAATAAACACAAGGATTACTCCAGAAAAGGCATAAGGTAAAGCTTAGCAATTTTTAGGGTTATAAAAGTAAATATTTTTGAATATTGTGAAGTATTCAGAGTTAGTAATCGCGAAGAGTTTGGCAAATACTATTTGGCACCGTGTCAAGGGATAAGAACAAAGCTCACAGACTGCACTGGTCTTGAAATTACTCAGCAGTTCTACTAAACAAAAATAATACCTAATACCTACCTGCAACGAAACATCGACATCTGTCGCAAAATAAAAGGCGTTTATAATACTTTACATACTTACTTTCACTCCACAATATTAAAACACTATTCTTCTTCGTAATTGACTAACTACTATCGAGATCGTCCGAATGAATTCGTAATTATTTAATGAAAATATTCACTGAACATTTTGCAGAAAGCGGACGACAATGACAGATGAATGACTTTTTTAGTCATCTTTTACACACAACCAGTGTGACCAGATTGAAATTGAACATTATTATGGTAGCGTTTGTGCTACCATTTATTGAAAACATTTTTGATATTTCTTTATCTTTTCTTTAAAACTTTTTTGAGTGAATATAAAAGTTTTTAAAAGAAATGCTAGCTGTAAATGTAGAGTAAAACCAGGATACATGCCCCACTCTTTGAAATATCCTCCTATTTTTTTAAATATTAGTTTTGTATGAATAATTTCTATTGATGTAATAAGATGAATCTTTTGTGTTGAATTAAAATCATAATTTCGACATAATCATATGCTTATTTGTACACTAAATACGTTTATCCCATTTTTTGTCCATTTCATCGAAAGCTGACTTTAGGTTTTCTGTAGCTCAGGAACATACTTCAGCTTGCACTCCTTCCTTAATTTTATATTTTCGTCGCATGGTTCTGCTAATATTTACAAAAAATATTTATAAAAGTTAATAAAATATTTGAAAAATACACGCATACTTTATATATTCAAGGAGGTTCAAGGAGGATAGATGCCCCTAAGGGCACCTTTACCTCGAAAAATCAAGGCAACTATCCTATGTGGTAGGTATAGATGCCAAAGCAGATTTTAAATAAATCATAACTGTAATTACATCTACTTTAATATAAATACAGACTCAATGAACCATTTTATTTATATATAACGAAATTATTACTAATTATAAAGTTATACAACGTGCAAATAACACGTTTGAATCTTCGACTTGTTCGTGAAAGTTGCCGCGGGCATATTTACACACACGAACAAAATGAAGGTACTTGTGCACTACACTGAATTTTCAGTGGGTCGATTTTGTCCGGTCCGGAATGACATTTTTTTTTTTTTTTTCATTTATTTTGGTATCAAACAGTCATTTACATAACAAAGTGTGTATGATTAAATGTGCTTTAAATTACAGACCAATAGTACCTAAAAGTTACATTTTTTGAATTAAATAAACAAGAGAATCTACATGATAAGACACGCATACATATAAAACAAAAACATTCGGCAAAAGAATGACTTTGTATAATTTTATACTTACATTGCTCTTAAGCAAACTATCTAATTACATAGTATATCTTTTAACTTTGTCTTCAATACAGAAATTGACAAATTAAAGAGATCAAGCTCGGAGAATTCTTTATTATAAATGTTGGTGGAACGATAAAAGTAAGAGTTTCGTGTATAATTTTTATGCAATTTTGGAGGAACAAAGAATGATAATTTGCGTGAGGGGCGCACTGGAAGACGAATGCGTGCCAAAAAAGAGACTTTACTAAGAAGAAAAGATGAATCAATTTGTGAATTGAGAATTTTGAAAAGGAAAATAATATCAAACATTTTGCGCCTATTAGAAAGGCTTAGTAGTTTGTATCTGGTCAAGGCATCATTATATGATTCATTTTGTATGTTATTGCGGAAATTCAGAGTTTTAATGAACTTTTTTTGAATTCTTTCTAGTCTGTTGATATGTTTTTGGTAACATGGATTCCAGATAATGCTACAAAAGTCTAAAAGAGATCGAACGAAAGAGAAATACAAAATTTTTAGAGTAATAGTTTTACAGAATGGTTTACTTAGCCTTAGTATGAATCCTAGACTTCGAAAAGCAGAATTTAATATATGATCTATATGTAAATTAAAGGATAAGTTGGAGTCCATCATTACTCCTAGATCTCTATTTACAGTACCTTCCAATGTGTATTGAAAGTTAAACTGATGCTTTTTACGTGTATATGTCATTATGAAACACTTCGCTATATTCAAGAATAGTTGATTTGACGAACAATATTCCTTCAACGAGTCTAAGTCTTCTTGAAGCATTTTACAATCGTCATGGGACTTTATAACTCTGAATAATTTTGCGTCATCAGCATAAAGTAAGTGTTGACTATTTATTGCATGTCCTATATCGTTAATATATAAAGAAAAAAGCAATGGGCCTAAATGCGAACCCTGGGGAACGCCGGATGTTACCGGAAGAAATTGTGAAGTATATCCTTTGACACAAACTGCCTGAAACCTATTTTTTATATAAGACTCGACCCATCTAAGTAGATTGCCGTGTATACCGGCTCTTGCAAGCTTGTCAATGAGCAGACAATGATTAATTTTATCGAAAGCCTTGGAAAAGTCGGTATACACGACACCAACCTGTGAATTATCATCCATTGCTTGTAGTAAATGGTCAGTAAATGTCGCCAGATTAGTTTCAACACTTCTAAATTTAAAAAACCCGTGTTGTTGAGGAGATATATAATTACGAACGGCAACAGCGATCTGGGATGTTACTATTTTTTCTAAAATTTTACCCAAAACACACAGCTTGGATGTTGGCCTATACTCTGTTAAAATATCTCTACTACTATTTTTTGGAATAGGAGTTATCAAAGAATATTTCCACTTCGCAGGAAAAACTCCTTTCTCCAAAGAAGCATAAAACAAAATGGTAACAGGTTTCGCTAGCTCTTTAGCACAATTGGAAATGAGAATCGGATGAATACCATCAAAACCAGCCCCTTTGTTGATGTTAGTACATTTAAGCTCTTTCAAAACTATGTCGAAGTTTACATTTACAGAATTCATATCAACAATTGAGATACTATCTTTGCGGATAGTGGTTTCTAATGAGAGGCTCGATGATGAAATGAAAACGGAATGGAAGTATCTATTAAATTGCTCACAAATCTCATTGCCACAAGAAAAAGTTTTATTTTTATGAAACACCTGAGCTGGAATATCATGTCTATAGTTTTTTGATTTAACATATGACCAAAACCACTTCGGATTCCTTTTGATGTTATCTTCAGAATATCTTATAAATTGCTTGTAACAATCTGCTGACATTTTTTTAAATCGCTTTCTAAGTACTGAAAATGTTTGATAGTCACACATATTACCATAACGCTTCCAGAAAAACTTGTACTTGTGCTTGTTTATTAATCATCATTATACAATAATGGAGCATATTTAAATACCATATTTTATAACCATAGCATTTTTAATATCATCCTTATGCCTATACGAATAAACGAAACTTCAAGCGATTACAGACATAGACCAATTGTTGATGCCAATTAGAAAACAAAGCGAAATAAGTGCCGTGTAAGCGGAGATCTCCTAGCACGGCCAGTCACCGCGGGAGAGTTCGACTATAACCCTCCAAGGAAATTAGTAAACAAAAATAAACTAAACATTTGTACTTTCAACGTTAAAACACTATCTTCAGCAGAAAAATACATCGAGCTAAAAGCAGCGATACAATATATTAACCATGATATACTGGGATTGTGTGAAGTCCGCCGATTGGGAGAAAACATTATTGAAGACGATGATTATATCCTGTATCACATAGGACATGGTGGGCTTCCTGGTCAAGAAAAAATATAAACAAAACATCTAATCATTTATTGGAATTTCTGAGAGAGTTTGCATATTGGAAATCGTACTTGAAAATCTACCTTTTGCAATAATTCAGGCTTAT